TAACGGGAGTTGGAGCCTCGAGTTTCAAATCAAGACAGTTCATGCATCTGGCTCCCAAAGACCCCTCCTTGCCCTGTCCGCTCTGGGTAATCGTGCATCATAAAGCCTCTTCAGATGGCTAAAAACACGTGGGATGATCGCGGGTGAGGGTCCTTTGGTTCAAGCGCCTGGGTACTATGACGCTGTTGGAACGGCCTGGCTAAATTGCTGAGACTCCCGTGGTCCGAGTATGAGGTGGATTCTAGGAGAGCCTCGGTAGAGCCTCTAACTATGTAACCCAGTGTTATATATAAAGCGCTCTACTCCGGATAACCAGGTATGCAACAAGTTTCCTCTCTTTCGTTGCTGCTGAGCCTTTAGGGATATTCCCGGACATTATCGAGAAACATCTTTGTGTATGGGAGACCGCACCGGAAGGCTTCACGCACTTGCGCCAGCGCCTCTGGATAATAAGTCATTTTATTGGGTCTCATTTCCATTCCTTTTAATTGACAAGGTGGACCTTCCTGTACTCTATATAATCTTCGCGTCGAATATTTGAGTAAGCCATATAGAAAGGAGCATGAGAAGTATGATGACTTGCTGTTGACAAGGTCATATATGTCTTGAGGGCCTCATCGGGCTCACTAACTCTGAGATGGGGCACTGAGACATCGCTTCTCCCGGTACAATAGGAATGGGCAGACGTTGGGCTGTTCTTTATTATATATTCGTTGTTACTCCGTACAGTGAAGTAGTTATAGTTATCGCGAAAAAAGCAGAATATACATCTCGCATATTCATCCCTTTAGCATGATTCGTTTATTCATGGCTAGATAAAGACCCGAGCTATCATCGACATCGAGCTGTAGTTGTCTAACGCGCATAATAACGAGCAACGTGACGCCTGATGTTGTTCGTTCAAATAAGCTCATCGGGTAAAAGAGCCTCTTCCCCTGTTTGGGCCACACCGCCCTTGTTACTAAAAAAAGTATTTGAGCATCCCAACCTCTTCCAACCTGATGGAGAGCTACCACTCCCTTGGTTTATCTTGTACCGCTACATCATGGGCCAGCTAAGAAAAAAGCCACGCGTCCAAGAGGCTAGTTACTACAGAGAAGGTACTCCGTACAGATATATTCTAACATAGCGAAAAAGAAACGCTCATGCTTAAAGGGGCGTGAAGGTTACTTTTGATGGCGCCGCGCTACCTCGCTGCGGGAGAGCCAAAGCACCCTCTCAGGGGAGGAAAGGGGCCAGCGAAGAATAAAAAAAAAAATGCAACTTTGGCAAGACAAGAATACCCACGGCCATCTTGTGCTATATATATAAGACCTGGGATGATCATTGGTCAGACCTCGAATGTGGGATCACCTATATTGATTGGGCCGTTCATGAATTATGCATATCTCAGTTGCAGCCAAGGGGTTGCAGGTTCACCACGGCACACTGACTGGTTTTTCCTTTCCTTTGTCTGGCCACACGATTGCCCAAACGTTGGTCAATGAGAGCATGTTGTGGAGGACTAAACAAGCCGCTATTTATCTGCTGCCAGGACAGCTGAGAGCCGGAAATTTTGCTCCCTTTCCCTCCTCTGTAGTAGTCGCACTCATGTTTTGATCGTCTCGCAAATTCCAGTAGGACAAGATGGTGGGCCTGGTATCCTGCTCATGGCCATCCTCGGCAGGGATCCCTACTGCAGCATATATGTTGATAGTCCTACTACAACATGGGAGCCTTGTGGGGTCCACGTCAAGCATTGCAACATTTTCTGATGAAAATTGCCAGAACTCCTTATCATCATTTGACGGGCCTAACGGGTACCCAAATGGGACGTGTTCAAGACTCGAACGGAGTGGAAAATATGGTAGCCTTCAAGTTGTCAATCTCGACGATGGCTGCTCTGGTAGGGAAACAATTTTTTTTTTCTTCTTCTTCATACTTTCTTCTGTTTTAAAAACACCCAATATGTCCTAATTGCGAAGTGGAAGATCTCCCAAGTCAAACAGCAGATTATCAGCCTATTTTGTTTTACTTCTCACAACATACACTAACCCTCACCACTTTGTATCATAGTAACGTTATATGGCAGAGACGACATCGCCGGTCAGCCCTGTTCGTCTTCTGTAACCCAGGTCGCTGATATAGCAACATGCTACAATACCTCATGGGTATGGTATAGTATCGACGAATGTACAGCTCCTGCACCTGGCCAAACAAAAGTACCAGTACCGAATATGTCTCGCGATTATACGGGTGCAATCGTCGGGAGCATAATAGGAGGACTATTTGTGATTGCAACATCCATCATAATAGGATGGTTTTGTTTCGTTTATCGCCCTCGCCGGAGACAAGAAGGATGTCAGGAACAAGCGACAGTTCATGAAAAAGCAGACGATATCACGGATCAAAAGCCTGTCTATGGGCTTTCTGATGGCCTAGGAACAACAGTGAAGAGGGTACCAGACGAAAGAATAAGTCGGGACTTGGGGACAATGTCGGAGCTGGAAGGATACCAAGCCCCTATCGAGATGGAAGCACATAATCCAAACTTCCCCTCCCTGCCGTTCGCAAAGTAGGAAGGAGACAAGACAACAATCGCGAAAGCGAATATACACGATTGCGGACTGGGAGTGAATTGTGACGGCCAAGAACCGCCTAGCATATGCCGAGTGCGCTCTTGAGACCACTATACCACAACAATAAGATGAAGAGTTGTATATCAGAAACTTGCTATTGTCACCGCCTATGGGCGCGACAGGCTGCAGGAAGTTTAATGGACCTCATAGAAAGGGTATCAATGGGCTGAGAGTCATGGCAGCGCCGCCAAGTTGCTGTAAACCGATCCATCTTCAATTTTCCTTCCACTACCTCCCTGACTGCCGGCGCAATTTCCGATTGAACGCCTATTTCAATGTCAATTTTGAGTATTTATTCCATATACGCTCCATGAAAGAGGAGTTTTTAGGATAAATGCATGAAGATGTCCGTCCACATTAGCCATATAAAGCAACAGAGTATGATCTACAGGGGGTAGAATCATTCCTCTATCCAAATCGAACCTAAAGTTGAACATCTGCGGAGATACAAAACGGATGATAAGCAATTCAACGAGAAAAAAATTCACCAGGGTAATTAAGTATATGCACGGTGCTCATCATATACTTTTATGCACTGTCGTGAATGAGGTGCCAAAAAGGATATGTAGGATGCAGCTCCCTGTTGGATTCAGCGAGCATTATACTCCGTAACCAGGCACCACATATAGTACCAGGTAGCAACCTCGTTCTCCGAGTTCAGGCCGATGTGAACATGCAACATCGGTGATTCTAAGCACGACTATATGCCGGGCCGGGTCCCCCAAGTGGGGGCCCCTATATCGATGTATGCATTTAGACAAAGTGCTCCCCAGCCTGCTACTAAGACAAATAAAAATGATATGTCGGTACGTAGAGTCGGAGAAGAACTTCGTATAGTCGAAGACTCGACGCCTGACCATGGAGTATGGTCTGACAGTCCCATTGGTAGGTGACCTGAGCCACTAGGAAGGAAGCTCCCTTAGACACAGCATCCCGCTTGTAGAACTTACAAAGTTCTGAGAAGCAATTAGGGGGTTTATCATTGTAAAGGGTATCCAGAGATGGTGGGAGTTTATTCCTGTTGAGCTTTGAAATGTGCATACATTGTTGTCAGCTCTAATCACAATCCCATGGAGTTGAAGAAGCTAGGCCTTGGGAGATGTTCAGGTCCCAGCCGCTTGCCTATCCATATTGAGGGAGCTGACCAGCTCTCGCTGCTAGCTAACAACGGCAAGTGACCGATCAAGTGGAATCAAGTGGAATAATTTTCCGGACTCAAGGGAGCATGGCACCAAAGGGAGCTCCCAAGCTTCCAGACAGGGATGTGCGTGATATATCCAAAGTCTGCTCCAGTATTTGTCGGAAGAGTGCCTGATCCCTGTCCCATGAAGCTCCTTCCCCGAGACAGATTCAGGTTTTGTGGAGGGGTTTGTGTCGAGTATCGTCTCTTAAGGTGGCCCATGTACTCTGCACATTCACCTCCGAAGCAGACAGGGCCTTGAAGCCGTCTATTGAAACCGACCATGAAGCGATAATGGAGGGTTACTTCGTGCGTCCACAAAGCGGAAATCGGGCTATCAACCAGGTAATGGCGATATCGTATACGAGATGATATAATTCCGGATATCATCAACGGGTTGCATGCATATGCTTACTTATTATTAGCACGAGTTAATATTTGTGCTTGCCGCATCAAGCTCCTATATTATAATATTAATATGGGTAGTTTTTAGTGCCATTATAATGTTAGCGATGGAGTAAGTATGGAGCACCTTGACGATTTTTGCAATCAGTATCTCCTGAAGGAAAGGAAGACTTGTAGGACCTCCGCCCCTTGGCTCCACTCGAGACGGCTGATATCAGTGACTAAGTCGGCTTGCCTCGTTTAGCGTTGACAGGGGTAAATGCAAGAAAGCGACTATTGAAGCGAAAAAGCGGCCTAAAGAGCCAAAAACTGGAGGAATTGACGGCTAAACCTTTTTCCCGCCAATTAGTTTGTTAACAATTTCCTTAGCCGTCGTAAAATGAAGGCAAGGAGGCCGAGAGCATTCCCCGTCTGCATGGCAGCGGCAACTAAACATGCACTTTGACATTCTGCACCAGTCTGGTCCCAATGCCTGAATATTCAGCATGCTCTTCGGCAGGGCCTCTTTCTTGCTAAAGGGCGCAGTCGTACAAAGCTGCCGTTCTCTGCAGTGTCAAAAATCTTCCGAGTTGCGCCGTCGGGCCGAAATTCTGGTGCCTGAACCAGCTCGGCTCGGCGACCACAGGGAAGTCATTGACCATGAGTAAACTCTCAGAGGGACGGTTGGCAAACTCGCCGGACGGCGTTTATACAACACCGGAGGTTTCGCTTTCAACGTTGCTCAAGGAGATGGACGTTGACATATTATCGGCCAGCCCGTTTGCTCTATTTTGGCTTTTTGTGTCTTCTCTTAGTGCATGCCAGCCCTGAGCGACGCCCAGCAAGACGAATGTGATGGCATATGCATGATGGAGGAGAAAATGGCCTGTGGCTACCTGCTCCGCCAGGCAAAAGAGAACAAGAAGGCCTCGACCACGGTCCATCAGTGTACGGGAATACATGACGGGAAGGGACGGAGTGCCCAAAAGGATGAACCATCACAGAAGAGTTCAAACCCGCTCAGAGAAGGCATTATTGGCGGCTTAGGCGAACGTATGTATATTCACGGCGCCATGGCTGAACAGCACAGGAGTAAGAAAAGAAATAAATAGGACTTGAATCGAGTAATCAGGGCAAATGCCAATGCTTGAGTATATGCAAGTATGCATTTGAGGCCATATTCAGCTTGGTGCTCGTTTCGCTTCGCTTTACCAAGCTTGCTACGTCTGTAAAGGAGGGCTGGCTCGCGTGGGCGGCGGCCGCCATGCCCGAGGGATTAGTATTATTGAAACGTAAACCCTCCGTTGTATGCACACGTTGTACGACCAGCCTGCAAGGCGTTCCCACAGCCTGGTAGAGTAGGATTTTAGCAAGCAGATCTTGCCACATATCGGACATGAAAATAATGTCTCCGGCTATGTTTAGCAGCAGGCAAAAAAGAAAAAAAGGGAGGGAGAAAAAGGTGGCGCCATATGATGATACATTCGCCTGCACTGGCATCGTGGGGGAGCAGGTATGGAGCTTGGCTTGAAGGTGAAGGGATATAGTGCGTTGCGAGCATGTTCGTGGTTCATTTTGGACTCTGCAGACGTTCTCAAGGAGGTGAATGGGTGCATGTACGGTGAGATTCTTGGCTTGCTTGGATGGTAATGCATGACCGCATGGCTGTTACGTATCAAGAAATCGAGAAGGGTCAACCAAGGCCAACGAAACAAGCCCAGAGACGAAAGAGGAGATTTGTTGATGAAGCGCTTATGCAGAAGGACGAGGACGAGGGCTGGGGGTGAGATATTCGGTCCAACCCGAGGCCATCCTGATTTACAAACCGAATAGAGACCGCCAGTATCCAGAGTCTCTTGATGGTTCCACAGATCAAGCGGATCATGTAGTCATCCGCATAGTTAAAAAAATATGTAGTAGATATACATGTAGGCAAATCGTGTAGGCCAGATGCAAATGCACTGCGCGTTCCCTGGTCATCGTTAACGGTTTTCCACAGCTTGTTGGACACTGTATCTCCGACTCCATGGGGAAACTTTGCGCACGTCTATCATCACCCCTCGTCTTACTGATGGTGGTCTTTTTTTAATATAAAAAAAAAAAAAGTCCATCACATCGTGATACCAAAAACAAAAAATAGGGCATCGTAAATAAAAAAGAGGTCGGTGCAGAAGCTCCCATCGTTGACATGGTGTTGAGCCAGGCGGAACTCCGTAGTTTGTCGATTCCTGGACAGGGGAAGGGTGGTTGGAGCCATATCCCATCCTATGAAGGAGAAATGGTGGATAACAGTTTCCCGAGTGAGGAATGTTGCAGCCGTTCGTATCGATTGACTTTCATAGGTCAATCTCTCGGCCAGGAGAACGAGGTTGGGTCAAGGATCAGGGAGTCGTGGGAGGGAGGGATAAGGGAAGGGCAGACTCGTTCCAGGGGCCATGAAGGAGAGATGGTGGAAACAGGAGATCCCCTTACTGGTGGATAATTTTCCCTTCCCGATACGACCTCTCTGTCCGCCAACTGAACAGGCAGATCCGAGCAAGGAAGGGCAGGCTAATTTCCAGTTCGCCCAGGGTCAGGTCAGATAACGAGCATCTTCTCTGTTTGATCATCGGGCGGCGAGGATCATTTCTAGGATGCAGTAGCAAGAACTTGGCCCTGCTGACGGTGAGATTCCCGCTGACCAGCTACACGATGTTCACTGCACGGTCCGTCGCTGTCCCCTTCCATCCCGCGATCTCTCTGCCAGGCAAGTCAAGATTGTTCAACCCCAAAATGAGTATATGATGCTGCACGCCCTGTTTTGGTGTTCGTTAGTTAAGCTGAAGAATCCGCCTTTTGTAACTTCGTATTGTCCTTGCTTTTTCTGTTATTTTGCTTTTTGCTGTTGGCTTTTTTTTTTTATATCTTTTGTGTTTTATTTTATTTTCGGTTGAGCCTCGGGATACCACGTGACCTCTATTTTGGGGTTAGCGTCTTTCTTATTTTTTCTTCGTTTCTTCAACGTCCAGGAAGAAAAACAGCAGCAAAAGACAGCAAAGAACCAGCAGCAGACGGGGTGACGGAGCTGACGATGCAGAGGCATAACAAAGGTGGATGTGGATGGAAGGTTGACTTTGCGTGAGTCTCACTGTCGCGGAGACTGCTGCCTCAGGATGTTCTAACAAGCAGCGCAGACGAACAAAAGCCGTGGACGGACTGGGATCCTGAGACCCATGCACGCCGAGGCGGACCCCGGGGGACCATCCTTGCCAGAGGATAGCCGAATTTACCCCTTTCTTGTCCATGGGTCCGTTGCTCTCGAGAACAGCGCTGGTTCGTCGTTCGTATTATTATACTTCCACCAGCCCCAGAATTCCGTGGATGGCCACCGAAGCTTCTGAAGCATTGGCTTACGTCGCCAAGTGGCGCCCAGCACCCCCAGGCTGGGGTTCAAGTATAATCTGACTGGCCTTCATGCACAGAAGCAGCAAGGAGAAGTGTAAGATAAAAGAACAAGAGAAAATACACAGAGCAACCTGGTGAGCTTCCAAGAACCAAGGAGTCCGCTCTTCTTATATACAGTACTTACATATGGAGTACTGACTCAGGCAGTCTTGGTGGATGATCCGAACCAGCCGACCGAACGGATTCCCACGGCACTTTTCTTCGTTCCCCTTGACCAATTCTGGTTGACGTTGACCAGCAGACGGGAAGACCAGGGATGAACTCCCGAACTGCAGCAATTCCGAGTTCTTCTTTCGACGCTGTTCTCGGGTTGTGTCGTGTTTGCTTTGTCAGTCATGTTCTCGCGAGCGCAAACGCTCGTTCCCTAAACGGAAAATAGGCGTAACACTACCTTTGGGGAGCTGATCATGATTCATTATTTTCCTCAGTCAAACATATACGGAGCCGTCCTCTTACAGACGGAGAAGCGGAGTTTGGGTCTTTGTGGTAAGTGTAGACGCGGGAGACGATCATAGTTATCCTTACGCATCTGCTTTCTACCTCTGACGCCTGAAGATATGCCCTTGGCCGAAACTGGCTTATTCTGATTGACTCGATTTCCATCAATATCCAAGTCGGTTGGAGCACATCACACGTAGGTAAAAATCAGGCATCACCATCCTTCCAGAAGCCAGAGAAGGCCCTTGAGCAACCTCCAAGGTCGTGGCATCCCATCACGTGGAGTCGTAACCTCGTTGCAAATCAAACTGAGATTGTTGTCCGAGACGACTGTGGTGGAGGCTAAGTCCCTGGCTTAGCGTGCTATCTATAGCCCGCTCGCCAACCATGTGGAGGAACCTCTCCAGCAAAATGTGGAACCGAAATTGAATGGGATAAAGTTGAAACAGCAGACTTTTTAAAGCTTGAGCCTAACGACCCCGCCACATACTTCTATGTAAGCCGAGTCTGCCACCCCCGTACGGGTACCCCTACTTTATCCCCATGGGATGCAAAAAAAGGCAAAAAGAAGCAAAGTGATTAAAAAAAGCAAAGGTGTATAGAAGGAACATCTTCAAAAAAAATAAAACAAAAAAGGCACCCAAAAGGATTGCATTGCAAAAGAAAAAAAAAAGCAACAAACTTCAACAGGGTCCGAAATAGAGCTCCATGCTCCAATTTTTTCTTTCTGGCTGATTTAATGAGACAAACACTAGGTGTCTCATACGATTCTTCCTCGCAACGAAGTTGCTCTTGAATGTCCTTGGTCTTCCTTAGCACTCGGGTTCTTCCTTTTTCCCTGGCTATCTTTGCTTTTCCCTTCGATCTTTTGGCCTTCTCTCGGCCGCTCTGGGCCAAAAGGTGTGAGTAGCGTTTCCGCGGGCCGACATACTGTTTCAATCTGACCACCAGAGACCAAGAACGGTATTGGTAGAGGAACCAGGGTGGAGAGGGGGGAGCGTAGCTAGGCGCATGATAGGCCCTGCCTGGCGGATACCAGTGGCCTTAGCCTTAGCCACGTTCAATACGGAGGCTAAATATATATATTTATCTTCCTTCCACTGTCAACAGATTTTACATAAATAACCACTCCTCCAGCCCGTCAACAACAGTTCTGTAGATCAGAATTCATATCCACTCCTTTTGAGGATAACAAGTTATCCAACCTCCTTCCAACCACCCATCGACCGTCGGGGGTTCAAACGGGGGATTTCATATCCTTTGCGTTGACGCAATTCAAAAAGTTGGGAGAGTCTTCCGCACCGCAAATACATAACGCACAAAAAATGAAGTACAGCGCAGTGTTGGTGGCCGCGCTTGCTGCCATAGCAGATGCTACCATCCCCATTCCCAAGGGCGGAGTTCCTGGCCAACCTATCCAGGAGAGCGGAAAGGGAGCTGTCTTTTCTGGTATGATATTTCACCCTTCACCTCCCTTACCAATGTTACAGAAGGTCATTTTACTCATTTCGAATGTCAGGTGGTACCAACAATCAGCTTGACCTCCAGAATCCAAGCAATATCGGCGGTCAGCCAGCTACTGATAATGGTCTTGTTCCCAACATGAAATGGAGTTTCTCCCTATCCAAGACACGAATGTTGTATGGCGGTTGGATCCGTGAGCAGGTCATTCAGGATCTACCAACCAGTCATGACATCGCGGGTGCCCAGGTCCATTTGATCAAGGGTGGTATCCGACAGATGCACTGGCACAGAGTTGTATGTTTAACACATCTCCACCTTTCGTCCTTTTTTTCTGCAAAATGGATCAGACGACAATTGTATACTGAGACTTTTATCTTCTAGGCTGAATGGGCCTACATCTACGCTGGTTCATTCCTAATATCTGCCGTCACTGAGGATGGCCAGTTCCAGCTTGACAAGCTTGGAGTTGGTGACATGTACTACTTCCCCAAGGGAGCTGCTCACTCTCTCCAGGGTCTCGAGGACGAGAACGAGATTTTACTGATTTTCGATGACGGTGACTTCGACCGTGTCGGGTATGCTTTTGAACTATCCCTTAATGTTAATCGCACGCGACTAACTGCTTCTTAGAACCACCTTCATGGTTGCCGACTGGATTTCGCACACACCAAAGGACGTTCTGGCCAAGAACTTCGGTGTCCCACCCAGTACCTTTGACAAGACCTACAACCCCGACCTCGCCCTCATCAACTCCACCATTAGCACCAAAACTGTCGAAGGTGGCAATGGCGCTCTCACTGGCAACAGCTCCTACACCTTCCACATCTCCAATGCTCCAGAGATCCAGGTTCCCGGTGGTGGTGGTACTATCCAAGTGGTTGACTCTAAGAACTTCCCTGTCTCCAAGACCATTGCTTGTGCTGTCGTCCGCCTAAAGCCTGGTGGCATGCGCGAGCTTCACTGGCACCCAACTGTAAGCTTTCCTTTACATGCTTTTATCCTCAATTTTCATCTCATCTAACCGTTTATCGTACAGGCTGAGGAGTGGCTCTACTTCCACAGCGGAAATGCCCGTGCTACTGTCTATATCGGTGGTGGTCTTGCCCGAACCTTCGACTTCACCGCTGGTGATGCCGGTGTTTTCCCAGACAACTCTGGCCATTATATCGAGAACACCTCCGAGACCGAGGAGCTTATCTACCTTGAGCTCTATAAGGCCGACCGTGTCGCTGACGTCTCCCTCAGCCAATGGCTCGCCCTTACCCCTTCAGACATCGCTGCTGCCGCCATCAATGTACCAATTGAGGTCATTGAGCAGATCAAGAAGGAAAAGCAGTACATCGTTTCCTAAACGTGACACACGCGGAGGTGCAGGCACCTCAGACTACCCTCTGAGAACAAACACCTTCATTTTTACTTCTCTGTAATTTTTTTTATCAACCCTTCTCTCTCTCATACCCGCCACCTGTCCGGCCTGGATACACTAATGACTACACTCTCACCCCTCCCTCGATGGTTTCTTTTCTCTGACATATCTTGCCTGCACATAAGCTGTTCGTCATCTGCTGGTACAACCTCTTTCCATTTTCCTCTGCCTATATATATATCCTTTCTGTTCATGTTACGTCTATTAGATCTGCACATAGCCGACCTCCTGTCTTCTCGTCTATATATCTCTGAGCGATTTACATACGCTCTCCATCTCCTTACCTGTCTTTTTCTTTTTATTTTTAGAACCAAAACGAGAAAAAATTCACAAAAATACTCAAAAACAGAATGTTCCAAATGTTCAGTACATAGAATCAAATTACCATGTCTTACCATTCGAGAGACCAAATCTTGTCTTTCAACGGCGCATACAAAGCAAACCATGGACACGCCCCTTTTCAGCTCCCAAAGGCACATGGCCTTCTCCTTTTTTTTTTTACCTTTCTTTTTCGTACGAACAAGCTCTGCACTATCCTGCAACCTTCCTGTCGAAAAGTGCGGTGTACATATACAAGCTCTGCTATCTTCCGGCTTCGATGCTCGGCAGCAGAGGCAAAGTACCCGGGACCTCCGTGTACTTGATGGAGGCGCATATCACCCGTCAGCCTTGTTGTCCATAACGCCCCGTCAAACACGCAGCTTTCCCGTCCCATGACGAAGCTGCATCTATCAAAAAACACGAAGGGACAGCAAAAAGCAAAAGAAAGCACGCCGACTACTCCCACACGGTCATCGCGAAACGGAGGACCTCCGTTGGGTACGACGTGTTCCTCCCAGCCTCAAGGGAAAGCCGAACGATTGTATCTATTTCTGGCTACGGGATCGCGGTACCCAATAGCAAAGTCGAGAGCAAAGCTGCCTCGTATATCAAGATCCCACGTCTCCATCGGCCTGTCTCCAGGCTCCTCCTCCCGCTGGGGATCGGGGCCATCCAGCTGTCTCTGTCTCAAGGCGGAGTCGCATTTATTAGCAGCCGCACCAGACCAGAGTAAGGCCAGGCAGCAAACCAGAGGGCAGCTCCTCGTCCTGCCTTGCTGGGTTACAGCTCGATATTCTCCGCTGTTAATCCTCTGCTGACCTTGCCACCGAAACTCTCTCGCGGCTGAGGAGACCAGACAGACACAAATAATGAACTGCCGGGCCATGCACCTCCTAACTCCGTTTAATTGACGGAGGCCTCCTCCAGGACCCGAATATCAAGGATCACGGACAGCTTCTCGGCTCATGCTGACTGCAGGAGGCCATGCAAGAGATGCCGAGTGTACATCAGCGTACATCAGCGTGTACATGGATGGATGTGTGTGCGTGTGTGCGTGTCTGCAGTGCTTACTCTGTATATAACCATCCCAGGAACAAGGATAGGCGTGGAAATGCATACATATAAGGCGTCGAGAGACAACAATGCCGTTACGTTACGAGAAAGCAACTCGTTGATGTGCCGGGCTAGGATTATATGCGTGATGTCCCCGGTTTACACCCATCCACAAGGAAACGGTGCTTATCTTTTCAAATCCGTCGAGGAAGAGCAAGACAGAGCAAGCATGTAAGGGAAAAATACGAACTGAAAGCAGCATGCGATGGCAGGAGGTTGGTTGCAGACCAATACATATGGCATGGCAGCGCTGGGATCTGTTGATGGTGGCCTGAGAGGCCTGACCCACACACAGTTAATACTTCTGGGACAAGATCATTCTGGCTCAACGATCAATTTATGATAGAAACAACTAGTTATATGGTGTTTAGTTAATAAGTAGAGAATAAGTATGAAGTAACTATGGTCGACACCCTCGAACTCCTCATAAACGATCCATCCAAACATGTACCCGGCATCCCAGCGTCATCGAACACGTTAACTGTTCAAGCATCAAGCATCTGTAAAATCTGTAACCCCTTCTTCCTCCTTCGCTTCCCCACACTTCACTACTTCGTCCGGCCGAAAATCATACTTAACCCTGTCATGATCGAACATCAACATAAAAAAAAAACATGGTAGGAGATATAAAAAGAAACATGTGTCAAAGCAAGTATCAAAAAGTTGCAGATATTCACGGCAAACCTCGGGGACTTGCATCTCTTTCCCCTTCCCTTCTCACCTTCTCATCCCTACCTATGGGACCGCGGTCCCTCACAAACCCTTCCACCGTGCCCAGCCCGCAGCTTTAATTTCCTTCGATTTTGAAGGTTGATGGCCTCCTTTGTTCTTGGACGGGGATGATTCACTCTCATCTGGGATGAGGTCACCGCCCCTCCCTTCTTCTGCAACTTTCCCACTGACCTCGCGACGGCGGCCAACTCCCAAGCCGGCTAGATAATTTCCGTACCCTGGTGAGCCGGAACCTAGATCTGGGCCAAGATCGATGCCAGTGTTGCTAACAACTCGTCCTTTGCGGTCAGTCTCACCTTTGCCGACGTGCGACTCAAAGTTGTCATCAGCGTCATCAGTCTCCCCTCGGAGAGACTCGTAAGCTGACACTCGGCCGCTCTTACGTCTCCAACGGGATGACAGTTTCTTGTTGCTACCAGGGGACGGAGTGTTCTTTGCAAGTTCCCCGTACGAGCGTGACTTACTACCAGGCGTAGCTTTGGAAGGGGTGGCAGATGGGTTTGGAAGGTTGGAAAGCACCTCACGACGGACATCGCTTCGAGAAGCTTCCTTGCTCTCTTCCTCTGGATCCAATGGGCGGGGGGTTGGCGGATTCATGGACAGTGGATTCACCTCCAGACCAGAATTGTGATTGAACTGCTCAGTTTTGCCTTTGGAATAATAACGCTCGCCCTGGCTTTGTTGATATCCGAACATATTGTCTGATTCGTTGGGATTAAGGATTGCCTCGTCTTCGTCGTCGTCGTCGTCGTCATCTACGGCAGCGTATACTCCTCGGTGTCGCAGAACGGTACCGCTTCGTTGAATCAGATCATCATCTCCCTCGAAATTATCGTCCCAGATTGCATCTTCATTGTCCAGCGCTGGGTTACCGACAGAATCTCTGAATGGCGAAGCCCCTTGAGCATTCAGCTCAGGCGATGGAGGATTTGAAGGATACGCCTCCCAGTTAGAAGATACACTTGGACCACGGTTCTGGATATCTACAGACGATGGCCGGGATTGTGCGGTGGAAGGCGGAGTATGGAAAACAGCGGACTGAGGCCTGGATGATCCGTTTCCTCTTCCCCTAACGGTGGTGCGGGAAATGGGTGTTTTGGGACGACTAGATTCCTCATACTGGCGAACCTGTTGGCTTGGAAGATCAGAACGCGAGTGACGGTGCGACTTAGCAGAGTAGTATGACGACCGGTCATCTCCCTGCTTCTGGGGCTGGGTGGTGCCTGTGAGAGTCACTCCGGAATCGGTCCTTGTGTGCGCAAATGGCACCGTGCGAGTAGCTGGCAGGATGGTGTTGTATGGATCCGTCTCAGACGAGCCAATTGTGCTTTGGCTAAGATGCTTCTCGGCTATCTCAGATCTGGTGCGCTTATGCGGACGGGCAGTTAAGTTATCTTCCAACGGGTTCATGTCTGGTGGCAACTTGGTTATCTTGCGGAACACCACCGCCAGATAGATATCCACAATCAACGACGCCAGATGGAATCCACCAACTGTCGTGGCAATGAGAAACGTAGCATAGATGATCTTCGCATTGGCATTGTCGTCACTAAACAGTGTCTTCCAACCATAACTCTTCGATTCATGTTCCGTTCGCGAGATTAAGGCAGTGAATACGTAGAAAGGAATCAGACCAGCGTCCAGAACTGCTGCAAAGAGCATGTAACTTGCCGTGGAACCAGGCGTACGGGAGGTCGCAGATCGACAAAGATGGAAAACTGCGTAGATCGTGTGCACCATTGAAACCGCGGGCTAGTTATTTGATTGTTAGGCGGTGGACGATAAAACGTTGAATATATGTATATAAGAAAGTAGTATCAACCTACCCCTATCCGGAGAATCCATGCTACCTGAGTTGTCGTGTTGTTGATACAGATAACGCAGAAGAGCATTCCCATAACCCCAATGAGAGTCAAAGCTCGCAAAATGAGCTGGAAAATTCGAGCATACTTGACGTATTTCTTAACATTCGGGCTCATATTTGTGATGGGTTTTCTTCCGGTTGGAAGGACCGCGTACTAGCAGGCTCAGATGTTAGATTTCTTCCAGGCTGAAACATATAAACGGCAGAGCAATGTTAGTTACCGAGTCTGGATGCTGGTTGAAGTTGACCAAGGGCCCATCTTTCTTTGGCTTCTGCGGCCGAGGCGCCCAGCTGTTCAGCGTAACAGCCTTGGGGTTGAAGTCGGCAACCTGTGCGGACTTGGGATAGAGAGATGGCGGGTCGTAGAGAAACGGCGGCTCGATCTTCCCCATGGCCACTGCTGTAAAGTTGCAAGCATATACTAAGGAATGTCTGACTGTAGAGATGCTGGTGCCGTTGTTTGTTGAAACAACATGGCTGTTGTCTTCAAGAGCGCGGGCCGAGCAAAAACACAGCTGTCAGGATTGTTGCCACGGCAACAAGCGCCTCGTCCGCTCGCTCCCAGCCTCAACGTTTAGCCGCGCGACTAGCGTTGCAACTAGCTCGACAGGCATCTGGTCGTCCGCGAAATGGGCATCCATCTCGACCCTGCAGTGCTATGAGATGATGGCGACGGCGATGGCGATGTTGTTGGCGATGTTGCTCTGTGGGCGGTCGTCGGATTAAGCTTAACTTATCAGATCGAGTTGGCTAAAAGTGTTATTCAACGACGGTTATTCCAACGTCCGCCGTCCGCCTCAGCACTACTACTACTACTACTACTACTACTACTACTAGTGTACCACTACTGGTTTACAACTAGTGTTACAAAAGACACAATACTCCGTAGTCGCCTGGATACTCAGTACCTTGCTGGTCTCTGCCAATATTGGCTATATTTAGAGGCGCACAGCTGGTCCTCGGAAGTGGAGATGCTGGAGACACTGGAGATGCTGGAGAAATCGACCACCGCACGGAAACGGCCTGGAGAAGCCAACGAGAGGACGGACCCGGAAGACCTCGTTGGAGTGCGCTGTAACGGTCGTGAGATCTGTGGAGTTTCGCGAACCGATTAGATCCCTTCGACCGTGTCCGCAAGAACGTGTCCGGCTCCATCAGATTGTTCGACGTCGCATTCCTGACCAAGCTCTTCTTCTTGACCGCGTCAGCTCATGTCATTAGTAATTCGTCAGCAAAACCAGTCTAGATGTTTGCCGCAATATATCTTGGGCCTTCCAGAGTTGTTACAGACGATACGTACTCCGTATACATGCATGGCAGCGTGGGAGGAACCCCTTAGCGCTGTTAGAGAATATAGAGACGAGCAAGTACTACGGAGCATGCACATCCCAGAGCCTCAGTTTGCGAGCGGCAACCGCGTGGCAATGATTCGCAGGAGATATTTTGCACTGACGGATTAAGCAAAGGCTTCCCGTGTGATATCATTTACGACGAGCGGGTTGTTCTACCCCATTTGATTGAAACAAACAAGAGTAAAAAAAAAAAAAAAAAAAAAAAAAAAAAAAAAAAAAAAAAAAAAAAAAAAAAAAAAAAAAAAAGAGCCTGGTTTGAGATAGCCAGGAATTTTGACCACAAGTTACCAACACTTCGGTCGAGCATGTCACATCAGTGACTTCTGCGACTGCTCGCCAAATTTTCAACTTTTGAGGCATCGCAGGTTTCAAAGGCAAAGCTTGTTTACATCTGACGTAAGGTCCGTGGACTGGGATAGATGATCTACGAAATCCCAGTCGATATCATCACGCATATAATAACCTCTCTCCTGACAATCTCGGTCACGGCTTGAGACACCACCACGGAATCCCGACCGAAAATAGTGTTAATATCGACCAGGTATCCATTGCTATAGGACCGGGTATGCGGATTAACACAGCAATTTACCGGTTTGAATCCTTGATAGGGAATCGAAAGCAAGGGCCCCCCTACCGGCCAATATACCAGCGATTCAGACCCCTGATGGCACATAGTTTAGTTCGTGGTCAGACCAACAAACTTGGGGTTCGTGTCAAGGAATACAACTGCCAACTACCTTCTAATCGGAAGAAAAAGAGAAGGAAAGGAGAAGCAACAGAGTGAGAAACATGAGGAAGATGCTCGAATAAAGACACGTAAGCTCATCCACCGAGAATACCTTGGTTGAATGTTGAATAGTTGTGAGATTTCAATTCCCAACACATATACGCGCAAACCACTCAATATCTTACAAAATTTGCAACTCCGCCGTTGCGCTGGCCCGGCCGTTGGCTCTCCCGCTATTAGCTGCAAGTCAAGGCCCGACCCTGTTTTATGGAGCAGCCATCTACATCCTTTAAGTATATCGATCGCTAGTTTGTGATTATCGGCCGATTCTGCCTCCATTGACAACTAACCTTCAGGGTATGCCAGAAGATGACCGTTTAAGTACGCATATTATCGAGATCACCCGCAAATCTCTTGGTATATATGCATACGTGACGTGAGTTCCGTGTATCCCATGCGGCCTTGTCTTGTCGCCTGCTGGGCAGGAATCCGGGGAATATGGCCATGTTACAAACATTTCGGAGTCATCCATCTTTTCCGAACCTGTAACACCAGAGGCCAGCGTCGGACTCAAGGGGTTGAAAGCATTGACCTCCCAAGCCTCTCTCGACCGAGTTCAAGTGGGAAACGGCTAACTATTCTGAAAAAATAGGCCCATGTTTTGGTTTTCTGACGTTTGAGCTTCCCAAGGTGGCTGGCCGCTTTTAGGAAAAATAACGATGTTGGGTACTCTGTAGGGAGGGTGGGTTTGGGAGCGAAATCGAACCACTTTTTGGCTTTTCGAGATTGACTCCGAGAAAGAACTTGCATCCTGCACAGTTTATACGGAGACCCCGTGTAACTAACTGTTCTGATGTATGTTTGCACCGAAGTCCCCTGTACGCATCCACACCCACAGGAAAACTCGGGCAGCGGTGGATTTTATTTTTAGAACTTCGGGTAGGATGGCCCTGTTCAGAGGTTTATGCAGCCTGTGATGCATAAATGTATGATTCTGGTTCTGGAGGCTTCATATTCATACGCACACATGGGGTCATAAACAACGGACATATACGCCTGGCTGGGCTGGTTCTATATTCAGCATCCGGATATGCAAGAGGACGGGGGATGGCTAACACCAGCGGAGGATATTTGACGCGAGAGCCTAGAATACATTTTGGTCATGGTTACGTACCAGAATCAATCCCTGGAACAATCGCCTTCCTCTTTGGCAAACGGACAACATCTCAAACAAACCATGTATCAATATCGCAGCGTGAGGGCAGGAATGTAACTAGTCGCATTTCATCCTAGCAGGATGAGCTGTCAGTCGGCTCTGCCGCCAAAAGGATTTCAGACAAACCCTGCACCGCTCCGCTGATCAGCCGGAGTTGAAAGCCTTCCTCGCTGTCTAGCAGCCTCTCTTTTTGTCTGATCCGCTGTCGGCCGCCACAAATCCTTCGTTTGTTGCAAGGAGAACCATTGGACACAACGCCTCAACAATATCTGCACTGTCCCTTTTCATCTTTGAGCAAGCACCTTGCTATATGCTGTGAGAGACTCTTGCCCGCTGGACGGGCGGCTCCCTACAGCTCGTTCGCTCGCTTCTGCCCTCACGGCGGCCTGACTGCTTGAAGTTCTGTCTCGCAACTCAGCAACGGCATGATATTGACTTGACCACTGTCAAAATAGTTACTCTTCTGTCAGCCAAAGGGGAGCCAATGAAGAATCTCTCCTCCACTCATGATATTCGACTCTCAATATTTCAAAATTCACTGCGCCAAGTCGTTAATTAACCAGTTAACTAACTTAGTCGACAGCAACGAGACTAATTAGCTAGCTAGTTAGCTGCTGGATGGCGGCAGGCAGGCGACAGCATGTCAGGAGTAACGAAAGACGGCCCTGCAATGATAAGTATTTTTTTTTTTTGCCCTATCCCGTACATGAGGTCGCCTTCGAGTCATGCACAGCCGATGCCATTCGTTGATTTCCTCCAAAGGCCCGGAGCGTCCCTGTTCTCCGGCGCAGCAACACTGTATTTAACCTACAAACTAACTTGACTAGTTAGCTCGCGGAACCAAATTCTAGCCTCCTCTTGAAATTTTTTTTCCCTCCCTGACTCCCTTTGATATTTGTTACATTCACTCATAGCGCGTATATTGATTCACTGCAACGGAACAGTGAATAAAATGGTCAGTGAAAGACAGCTCTTCCCGGCTTAGTATTTTCTTTCAGTCTTGCTTTTGCCCGTTTGCTCGATTTTTACCTGTCCTGCTCCCTTGATCGCACAGTATACTTTCTCCTCGTCTTCAGCAATAGCCGGTTGATTTAGAGAGATATCGTGTATTATTCCACCATTATGCTAAGAACAAACTCTACTAAAAAGGCCTTTACGTGCTTTTACTGGGTAAATGGAGGCTGCAAACACAGCGCCGACCAATGCAAGTTCGTCCATGAATATACCGATCGGGTTGCTAAGCCGCCAAAGCCCCCTCGATATGGTGAGAAAAGAAAAAGACAAGGAACCCCCCTATAGCTCTCCCATCCGGCGGCTTGTTTATGCAGTTTTTCTCACTGTCTTTTAGCATCAGCGTGGCGAGAGGACAGGCCTGAGACGAAGAATCTTATAGATCTGCTGTCTGCTGGAAGCGAGACCAGCGATTCAAAGGTATTGTTGACAGCGCATCAAGTGATGTTTACCCCCCTTTCCATGTAAACAGATGATTGAAATGAAAGCATTCTCACACCATGGCGGGAACCATTCTTTTTCGGCATATTTAGGAGCTTGACTCGGTTGATACCTCTAATCAGACTGCTGAGGCTACCCGGCCTTCGCAGATTGTGTGTCGGGCGATTGAGTCCGGACACGACTATGACCTTATCAAAGAGCTTCTCACAAATTACTCCCAGTCGGGGGGCGGTGATACCATCTCGCCCGAAGAGAAACTGGACATATTGCTGTCGGTCATAGCATGTAGCCGGACGGACCTTGTTGACCTGGTCATTGAGAATGGAGCAGATCCCAACGGGAGGGTGCACAATTCTGAGATCCCCTTGCTCGCATCAGCCATATTGAACAGAAACTCAACTTCAGTCTCGATTGTCAAGTTGCTTTTGGCCGCGGGCGCTGATCCAAATTCGATTCCCAAGTCTCTTTGGGAACACGGAGTCTTCACATACCAGAGCCCTGAACCAGACGATGGTGATGAGCTCATGGATTCTGGATTGAAAGCGTTGAAAGATACCCTTGAAGAAAGCGTCAACGTTTCAGTCAGACACTCTCTTTTCCAGGCTACTAGGACTTTACCGCCTCTCCCGGCAAGCATTGAGATGTACCTACTGCCGTTTGTCAAGAGAATAACGCGCGCAGAACATTTGTTGATTGGACAGAGAACCGCGATTAAATGGGTGAGGATGTTTATAATCATGAAGTTCATGACACGAACAAACTCTCCCTTGGTTATGGCGTTTGTTGGGCCAGCCGGCCATGGCAAGTCCAGCCTTGCCAAAGAACTGGGTACGTTCATACCAATCTCCAGCCTACAGAGGGTAGATCCGGATCCAGGTGAAGGTGAAGATGAAGAACTGTCGAACGACACAAGCCCTACAAACGCACCCGGTGAGCTGGAAGTTATCTTTGTTGACAAGGGCGATAAAAACGAGTATCAGCGGCTACTCTCCTTTTTAGAAGGAGAAGATGCATGTGAGTGGTTTTGATACGGTGCTCCTGTTGATGTATAACTGACCCATGGCTAATCATGTCTATAGGGTACTACTTAAGTGAGGGAGAGAAGGTTATAATTGACCGATCAAATACCTTGTGTATCATTGCTGCTTCTAGTGGAGAGGACAAGGTAATGGAATATTATGACCTCAACTCGAGAGAGCTCGAGGTAGAGCTTGCAGACACAGCAAACTGGGAGTCTCGCCTACACCGCGAACTAGAACTTTTCGTTGCGAATGACCTAGAAAAGGAGATAGGAGTAAGGACCGATCAGCCCAATATTACCTCCCCCCCCCCCCCCCCCCCCCCCCCGTATCTGGATGTCTGATCAAAATGCTTACTAGCGAAATAATTTAGACTTCTCTCGCAGGGCATGTATCATGCTACATTCCGTTCACCCCATTCTCCAAGACGGAAGCAGCCGTTCTCGCACACTCATATCTCCTAAAGGCCACTGATAGCCTGGCTGAGTTCCATGACTCCCTACATCATGCCAAACTGGGCGAATCAGACAATGTCACATTCATCCTGGACGCCCAAGTTGAAGCTTGTGACAACCTGGCCACGACGGTCTACGTTATCAAACTTGGTGCTCGCTCCATCGAGCAAGGGGTATTCAAAGCCGTTCAATCCCAGATGGTACAGCATTACCTGAAATCCGATTTGCTGAAGGAGAACCGTGGCCAGGGTGAAAGTGCAGGCAATGCTGGAGATAGGTGTGTCACTATTACTGTAGGAGAAGATTTTGCTATTAGGCTGGAGTGAAGAGATGGAAATGAGGGAAGGAAAGCAGGTAAAAATAGTTCTGGGATGGTAATCGAGCATTATGCATGGTATCACGGTAATGTCTAGGACTCTCTAGTTTAAATTTTAATATTTGGATGATGCTTTGTTTTTTTTTTGTTTTTTTTTTTTTTTTTTACGGAAGCAATTGGGAATTAATCGAAAAATCGGTTGACGCAAGTAAGATCGAGGTGACTAGGAAAAGAACCTCTAGGGCTGGGATAGCCACCAGAGACATGCATGTCTACCACCCCTTGTACCATGATATCAGAGCATGATTAAAGCTTAAGAAGACAAGCACCATATGTCCAGGGCAGTATATTAAGATAAGACAGCATAAATTAGCCATTTAGGAAGCGAAATTTGTGGACATGGAGGGCATATATTGATGACTTCATTAAAAAAAAAAAAGAACAAGGAAATGGTAATATCAACATGTATATCCTAAGAGAAGTCTTCCCCTGTTTCCTCGATATTATTTTTTATTCGGAGGAATATCGCCGTCTTCCACTTGTCTAGCTTGCTCAACTGATCGTATTCGTAGAGTCTATCTCCAAAGGCATCCGTGTCTCCCTGCTCAACGGCCTGAGTTAGGTCAGTGAGGAGTGCAAACTCTCGTGTGCCTTGGAACGAGTTGTCGAGTTCACAGTAACTTTGGAGAGCACGGTTAGTAGCAACAAGGTCCTGTCAGGGGGGTGGTCCATTCGTCAGCTATATTGAACTGCAGCTGTTGGCAGGGTAGGAGGATACATAATACGATACCTTTGAGGCGAGGTGGCACATGGTAGCTTTCATGAAGTATTCCTTTACGGACCACTTCATCAAGTTATTGTTGATTGATGACTTGGCCACTTTCTCGAAATTGGCAACTGCTTTGGCGTAATCGCCCTTTAAAGCAGCGAGGTCTGCAACCTTAAGGAAATGCTTGTTGGCGAGACTGATTGTAGGATGTTAGAGAGTTAGTTGAACCCCGGTACATATAGATACGAGGAAGCGAGCACATACGCTTCGGCATTATCGCCCTCGAACCACTCGGCTGCCTTCTCATAAGCTGCAAGAGCTCTGGTCTCGTCTCCGATTTCAACCTCGTACACCTCGGCGAGGTTCTGCTGGTGAGACGCAGCTCGTCTGAAGTTTCCGGTACTAATGTAGTGTTGTATAGCCGTTTGAAGCACTCTGGCAGCGTCCTCTGGGTCACTCTTCCGGTATACCTTGAAGGCCTCTGTGAGTGTGTTTGCGGCGTCTCCTGGCTCGTTCAGGTTCAACGTAAATATAGCAGCAGCCTTCTCAAATGCAGCTCCCGCCTCCTTGTCTATCAAAGTTCAACCGTTAGCGGGCTTCTCTCTGCTGGCTGTGTACTGGACGGGCTGTTTGTATACAAAAGTACAACGTGGGGGAGACGGACTCATTTTTTGTACTCTAAAGCAGTTTGCGGCCTGTGTGTATAGATCTGCGGCATTCTCGAACTTCTCTGTCTTGTTTCCAAAGAAACTGAAGCCTCCGGAAGCGCTCTGGAGGGCTTTGTCTGCCTAAACAGTGAGTGTTAGCAGGCGTAGACGCCGTCTCTTTCGCGGGGTATTCTGGCCACATACCTTCTGCAGAAGCACCCGGGGATCCTGTTCCGACATTTCTGCAGCTTTCTCTGGTCTCTTTCTGAGCTGTACAAGCCTTCGGTATGTCCTCTCGTGGCAAACGCGATGTTGTTCTGGTGAAGAGCTGAGTCCGTCTGTGCCTGGTGGTTGCTAGTTAAAAAAGGACCAGCAAAGCCGCCGGGCGAAGTTTGGGGTGACGTTTTTGGCCAAGCCTCGCCGGACTCTCTGGATCTTTTTTCTCAGCCATCAACTCGCAAAACACAACACAACACGGCTCTCTTATCCACGGACTCGCTGCACTGACGGTGATTAATATATGCAATTACGATGGCGGCATGTCCAATGCTCCGAAGAGCCCTGATACGGGCCAATTGGCTGGTCAAGAGCCCTGCAGCTGGCCCAGCCTACTACTCAACCGCAGCGCCTACGGACGTGAGCGCGCTCCTCTCAAAGCCAACGTGGTCCGTCAAGTCGCTTCTGCCTGCTTCTCAACAAGAAGACGATGCCGGGATCTCGCCGAAGCAGCTCAGACACCTGCTTCGACTCGCAGCTCTCCCACAGCCCGCCTCGCAGGCCGAAGAGGCCGAGATGCTCAAGACGTTGGCGTCACAGATACATTTCGTGAAAGAGATACAGCAGGTCGACACCACGGGCGTGACTCCGCTGCGCAGCATACGTGACGAAACCGCCGACGCTCAGCAGGAGAATACAATCGATCTGGCTCTGTTAAAGTCCGCGTTGGAGCGGGAGGAATTCGTCGGCCGGACCAGGCGCATTCGTCGTAAACCTGCCGAGAAACTAGAAAAACCAGACGGCGAGACGTGGGATGGAGACGCCCTCAAGGCCGCCAGCAAGACCATGGGCCGCTACTTCGTCGTCCAGACCGGCTCTGGCTAGGTTCTTCTCTCCGTCCTCGCCGTCGCTGTCGACCTCGTTCTCATCTCGCGGCTGCTGTGACCTACACGTGACGTCACGTGCTATCAAGATGGCGACGCTGCGAACGGTGTCACTTTCTCTGAGACAAGCTGCAGGAAGCCGGCAGCGCCCTGGACGCCCTGGAAGTCTTGAAGATCCCTGGAAAACGAGCGTGACTCGGTGAGGCTCTGGGGGAGGAGGGCGCTTGGAAGGAAAAAAACCGGGTTTTCCCTCTTCTTTTTACGAGTGATCATCGCCGAAAAAGCATTCATTGCCAAAACCCAAAGCTTGTTGGTACCTATAAGTATAACGTCTTTCTATGATGGCTAGCTACGATACAGGAGCTGGCGGCCAGCATGCACATCAGCAGCCAGGAGATAGCTCCCAGGCGCGCTCCCAGGATATTCGTGAGGCCCTGAGCGATTCGCAGTGCTGTGACCTTATCGACCTCATTCTCAACACTGCGGATTGCATGGAAGACTTGCTCTGCCCCCGTGCGGAGCCAGAAATGAAGGGGAGCCTGTCTCGTGGGAGTGCATTGGACAGTGGAAAGGAAGACGTCGACCTCCTTGGCGACGAGACGGGTCAGCCACAGCATCCCAAAAGACCTGTGAGGTCAGCTACCACGGTTGCGGCGATAAAAGCGGAAGCGGAGGCGTCTCGACACTTCGGCTCGTGGAGAGATGCAGTCTTAGCCAGAGTTAGGCAGGCTCTTCAGGACCCGAATGGGAGAGCACCTCTGAAACCTAGGCAAGCCCAGCGGTCTTTGATTGATCTGGATGAAGGTGGTCCTGGACAACAGGACTGTGCGCTACAAGAACTACCCAGTGAAACGAAGGATCTGATTGTCAATTCCCTCCTCCTGATATTACTCAGTCTGGAACACTATAACGCACATTCACGCGTTCTTCTTGTCAGAGTGGCCTTGCAACTCGGCCTACAAGTTGCAGATGTGTCAGAGCATGAGATGAAAGTCGCCCATGTGCTTCTGGACAGTGTGAAGGAGATGAACCATGCCGAAGAAGAGCTGAAGCGCAGAGCAGATCAGAGCAAGATCAGCCGGAGATGGAAAGTTGGGCTTGCATCTGTGGCTGGCGCGGCGCTTATTGGGGTGACTGGAGGCCTTGCTGCACCATTAGTCGCCGCTGGCGTCGGAACTATCCTGGGCGGCTTAGGACTTGGGGCAACTGTTGCTGCTGGATATCTTGGTGCTGTTGCCGGTAGTTCTATCATTATCGGTGGACTGTTTGGTGCTTATGGTGCCAAAATGTCTGGGAGGATGATGGATCGCTACGCAAGAGAGGTAGAAGACTTTGCCTTTCTACCTCTTGGTTCTACTCCAAAACCTGCCTCGGAGCCAACAGAAACAAGACCCCCGTCTTCTGACAACAGACTCAGGGTAACTGTTGGAATCAGCGGCTGGCTTACCGAAGGGAAGGACGTGGTGGAACCCTGGCGAGTTCTTGGCCCCGATTCAGACGTTTTTGCTCTTCGATGGGAGCTGCAGGCTCTCCTACGATTAGGCAGCTCCCTGACGACCTTCGTTAGGAATACTGCTTGGACAGTTGCTGGAAGAACCGTACTTAGCAAAACAGCTCTTGCTCCCGTCGTAGGAGCAGTAATGCTCCCCGTCACCCTCTCGAAAATTTCATACATCCTCGACAACCCTTTCAATGTCGCCAAAGTACGTGCGGACAAGGCAGGTCAGATCCTCGCAGACGCCCTTATCAACAAAGCTCAGGGCGAGAGATCGGTCACTCTAATAGGATACTCACTCGGAGCCCGCGTCATTTTCTCCTGCCTCATCGCCCTTGCAAAGCGACGGGCATTCGGTCTAGTAGAGTCTGCCATTTTGATCGGCTCTCCTACCCCGTCTACCACTTCCCACTGGCGACTGATGCGATCCGTTGTCAGCGGCAGGCTTGTCAACGTCTATTCGGAAAACGATGGAATTCTCCAGTTCCTCTACCGCGCAAACAGCATGCAGCTTGACATTGCCGGTCTTGAAGCTATATCTGATATCCAAGGCGTGGAGAACTACGACGTCACAGGTATCGTCAGTGGTCATTTACAGTATCAGTTTTCAATTGGCAAGATACTGCAGCGGATCGGGTTTGATCATCTAGATGAACGTGAGATACAGAGACAGGAGCATAAGCTTGAAATTAACGAGGAGGAGATGAAGAACCTTGAGGAGGAGAGGATTGCTACCGCTAGAGCTGCCCAGACATCAGGTACTAGTACCAAGAAGGCTACCACTAAGGTACAGGAGCGTCAACCAAGGACTAGACCTAGCGTGGAGGTTACATCTGGTACTCTCTCTGGGGCTGCCACTGCCACTGCCACTACTGGTATCGCAGCTACTGCAGGCACTGCTGTCGATGGGGCAGATGGTGACCACGCTGACGATACGGATGACGAGGCACCCACCGGGATAATGATGGTTGACAATGATGATATTGAACCTGACGGCTCGTCAGACACGAATGAATGTCCGTATCCCGACATTGAACCTGAACAGTTAGAGCGGGATATTGAAGAAATGACCAGGCAGCAGCTTCTGAATGCTAGAATGGACGGTATCCAACTTGAAGATAACCATTAATTGTCCTCCTACGACTACGACAGTGTCAGAAATAGCATAGAGATAAACTCTAGGTAATTAGATCGATAATAATATCTATTCTTTCAAATTATATTGATGCCTCGTCTGCCACCTCGCCGGCTATCAATTATCATCCATAATATAAGGAGGCTCACTCTGATAGCCGATCCATTCAGCGGCGAAGAAATGCAACTGCCGCGTTTGCCACGGCATGTCAAGGTCCCATAGCTCAGTTGGTTAGAGCGTCGTACTAATATGAAGTTAATGCGAAGGTCGAGAGTTCGACCCTCTCTGGGACCATCATAGGCTCTTATATGGTGCCTTTTTTTTTTTGTCCATTTCCAGGCAAATTTTTTGCTTGTTGGAAATATATATTCGGGGCTCTTTAGGCTTTTCGCACTTTTTTTTATGTTCTATCTAGGGCCTGCATCGTCCTTCCTGTTCGAGATAGCTTAGCGAAAATCTTAACCACAGCAGGCTGCTAATGATATCAGAGTTGTTAAAATATACTCACTCCAACCAGCTCTTCAGGACCATCTGCATCCAACCATGGCGGGTATTTTATTTCTTCCTCTACCTTCACTCAGTGTGGATAATTTTTACCCAGCCAGTGATTGAGGTCTATGTAGCAGACTTATCTCAGTGTGGTATTTATAGTCATAGGCGCTCCAGATGCCGATAACCTGCGATATAGTGGCCAGCACGACCAAGACGTGGAATATCTGATGCGAATTGAACCAAATATCGAATTTCCCTGGTCTCAGAGACTCCGGGATGCGGGTCTGAATATCTCGAAAACATCACAAGCCCAAGACATGTAACCGTATCCTGGGCCAGGGACTTGTCCGCCCGCTTTCCCCTCCCCCCACCCTACATGGGTCAGGCAAGAAGGGAAAGCGACGGAGATGTCCCCATAGCGTGAACTGAGGTTAGAAAAGAATGCAAAATCACGCAAGTAATATTAAGGAGGACGAGAAGTGGAAGATTGCTCACCACAAAGAAGGCGACCCCAATTATGTGCAACAGACCTTCGAGGAGGTAGTACGGGAGCCCGCCGTGTTCCATCATTTCCTCAAGGCCATAAAGTATGATGGCATGCATCAGGGGTGCGAGTGAAGACAATCCGGTGCAGATAAATGTCCACGCACGAAAGGTTCGGTACTCCTCACCTTCGAATTTCGGGTGGAATAATATCATGCATGTTAAGGAACTGAACACAAATGCCTAAAGAGCCTGATATAAGCTAGGTGTCCTCGTCGTAAGGGTAAGGAAGAGCTTACACTTGTCCAGTAAATAGCCCACAACACTGTGTCGCTATAAAACACCACATAAGTACCGGAGATGATGTCACCGAAGATCAGCCCTGCAATTCCCATATAGTCGGCACGCAGGCATGCCTTGGCCACCTTCTCGGAGTGGCTCATGAATGTGTGGAACAATGTCGAGCAGCTCATACACATGATGGCAGTCAGCAGGAAGAGTGAAAAGACTGCTTTATCTGCCACCGGAGCTTCAGGGTAGAGGGTCTCGAAGTGCCGGAAAACAAAAACCTCTGCAGCGGCAAATCCAATGGCGGGGATAAGATGGGTGTAGATGTTAACGGTCTCATTGTGGAGGTAGAACCAGCTGTAGAAGCAACGGGCGGTCGAATTGCATGGAACTCGGTAGCCAGTCAAGATATAATTGCTTTCTCCCAGCCAATGCGGTACCTCCTTGTTGGAGAGCGTGAGGGCGCTATGCTCCTGGCTTTTCCTAGGTAGAAGAGGCGGAGTTTCGTCTAGATCAACTCGTGGAGGCCGTGAAGCGACGAAACCGCGCGAACGAAGGGCGGGTAATACCGTCATCTTCCTCCAGCCGATGAATAGACTAGCTAATCCTAGGTCAATTTGGCGTGTATAGTTAACGATAGCGCTAATAATATAACTAGTTAGCAGTAGGAGGCTCAATCCCGTCCCAGGAACGAAAGGATCAAACTGGAGACAGGCCTGGAAGGGATATCAGGAGATAAGCAGAGGCAAAGAGAGAGCAGAGGTTTATTATATATTCACCCAGCTCCTTGAGCTGGAATATAAGACGCAGACGCCGGGCAGGGGTTCCGCCTTCCTGCACGCATGGCAGGGCAGGAAAAGAAAAACAGAGCAGGATATAGAGCAACGAAAAGAGCGGATAGCATCGCATCCGCTGGCTATATATCGAAGGGAGGATATATAAAGAGACGCGCCAGCGCTCCGGTCCTTGCGGGTGAGGGAACAGCTGCGGAAGGATTGAGAACAAGTCCCACTAGGCGCAGGCAAGGATAGCAGAGCTGCAGCTTTCAGCCCGTGGTTTGATGCCCGAAGCTTGTTGGCTGCGGCCCAGCAGTTTCTGGCCGGCCAGAACAACCAGACGAGCATCTCGGTGGGACTGGAGTGAAGACGGCATTTCGGTAGTCGGCGATGTTGGTATTTGCTGAAGTCGAAGTCTGACGCTGAAGATGAAGACGGCGTTGAGCAGTCATGTGATAGTTATTGAATGCACTATGGATGGACGTAAAAGGGGGTGGAAAGATCAGACGAAAAGAAGATGAACGGACAAAAAGGAAGATTCTATTGATATCGAATCGAGTATCTAAACCTTTGGCGTTGTATCATTGCTCATTATAATGTTAAACATCCCAAGAAACTGCCATTAACCGGTGGACCTGTCCATAACTTTTCACCCCTTAACCAAGAGCGTCCCATTCCACAGCCTTCCGGGGAAAGATTCGCTTGTACAAGCTGATTCCAATAGAATCTTGCGGGTTGATCTTTGCATCAAACGTGGCCTTGAAGTAGCCGTGGGTTCCCAGACTCTCTTTGATGTAGCCAGTGCGGCCACGTCGGGTCCAGAGCTGCAGGGCTTTGAACCAGGCAATGTCCTCTGCATTGAAGAACATGTAGCGGACAGTGACCAGCTTCTTGTGGATTTTGTACGGGTGGCCGGTGAGGATGACTCGCTTGGCTACCACGCGAGAGTGGTCTGGGGCCATAGATGTCCCAGTGCCGACGAGCTCCAGGGCACCGGGCTTGGTGTTGGCTTCGTCGCTTCCATCGAGGACTTCCGGGTCAGCCACAGACGTGCGTTTGAAGATCAGTACGGGGATGGAGCCCCAGGATACAGGGCCGATGAAGGTAGCTACTGCATTGCGGCCAGGGTGGATGAATCTATCAAACTTGTGAACATTATTGGGCGTTGTCCCTGCGGAGGAGAAAATGGGTTTGACGAGCAGTCGACGAGGGCCGCATTGGAAAATCAGCTCTTCCTTTGATTTGATGGGTGCCTCCACCGTGGAGTTTAGGGTCATGTTGATATTGACAACCGCATGTTTGTGCTCGTGACGCAACAGGGAGAAGAGAGATAGCGGGGATGGGTTACGTTGCTGCAGGCCCATTGGGACAGCTCGGAGATGTACGCGCACTTTGGTTCCGGGCTTTGCGCCACCAACAAGAGCCTCCCGTATACACTGGTTACGTGCTCCTTTGTAATCTGGTACCTGCAGCAGACGGCGCCAGTCCTCTGGTTCGTGTGCCCGGTCCTCCTCGGTTTCCCACTTGCTAGTCTTGAGGCTCCTCAAACCACGATATCGGGCCAGACGCTCTCTTGCTAATGTGTTAGGATGGAGCTCAATCTCGTCTGGGAACTCGAGGTCCTCCTGAGCCTCGCTCTTCTTGCTGGCTCGGTACTCCTCTATCTGTTTGGCTTCTTCCTCTGGAGATGGATCTAGGAACATCTCGGACTGCGGGTATTCGGTACCGCCACCTTCAGTCATGGCATCTCTATTATCAGGGAAAACACCATCCTCAGGCCGGCCTTCTTCCATATCCATCATCTCCTCATCATCATCATGCTCTTCGTCCATGAGATCAGACCCCGAGTCAGAAAAGTCATCAAGATACCAGGCTGATTGGTACTTTGATGTACCACGGGGTATTCTCTTAGGCACCTCGTATGCCGTTGGTTCATCTTCATCTGAAAAATAATGGTGATCGTCAAGCAGTACACCTTTTCTCTCCTGCCCAAGTATTGAAGGGGTATCATCTGTCATGAACACTTCCTCGGGAGCTACCGTAGTAAGATCCTCAGCATCTTCGGTCGGTTCATCCAAAACTTCCTCATTCACGGTATCATCAATATTCATTGCATCCTCCTTCTTGCGCGACGGAGGCGGTACTTTAGTGATTGATGATACCTGGAAATCTCCCCAAGTTGGGATGTGTACCAATCGATCCGCCTTGAGACCTTTCCCTCGAACTACACCGGTAATCACAACGTCACCTGTTTCATGAGCTGAAGAAGCAGGCCATTCTACATTCTCGATCAACATCCAACTTCGATCATCCCTCCAATGGATACCCTTGGGAGTGGCAGTACAAAGGCCGCGAATGACGTTCGAACAATCCTGTCTAGAGTCGAGAGAGTGGACTTTATCAAGGCTAGGGAAGTATCGTGTTAGTGAGGACTTTAGTGATGTTACAACTTGTGTCCTCTTCTTCGGTGTTGGTATTATCTCAAGTCTCTGATAGGTATAAATGTCAGTTTCATTGCCTAGGCTGCTAGAATGAATACTACATACCTGTACAAGTGCCATGACATTGGAGATACCCTGGCCTTCTACAGCCTTGAGAAGTAACTGGGCCGTTTCGTCCAATGCTTCCGCATCAGAAGAAACCACAAACACAACGAAATCAGCCAGCCGACATACATCCAATGCGCTGATCAAATCCCTCGTAGCGGGGATATATGTAATACTCTGCTTGAACCGGTCAATGCGTACTCGGCATATGCCACTGTAACTTTCGCTATCGGGCACATCAACGCTCTGGTTGAGCCGTAGCACTGCCGCGTCCAAGTCCACCCCCTCTGAAACTGGTATGACTGCCACATGCCTGGGAGCGCCATGCTGCCCGGAAAATATGCTGACGGCCTCAGACTTCGCCTTAGACTTCAGTCTCTTCTTCTGCTCGGCCTGGTTTCGTCTCTGCATTTTCGACATGAGCTGCTGGTGGGGGGTCTTTCGGCTGCCCCTCTCGATCTCGATTTTTCCTAATTGACTGTCAGCTGGTATCATCACACTACCCCAATGCGCTACACACCTTTAGAGAGATCTTTCAGAGCGCCCTTGGTCATATGCTTGGACTTGAAGACTTTGTTCGCCTTTTTCGTTGTGTTCCGGTGGTGGTGCTGCTCGGTTGGCACCGCCATGGGGGCCATCTTGCCTGGCCCTGAGCCCTTGAATCTAAACGGTAGCGAGTCCAGCTTGGGCAATCCACTGCAGAGAGAGATGTATCAAGTCTATAACCGTCTTTTCTCCTCGTCTTCGCTTCTCGTCTTTCTTCGTCGTCACAAAAAAACATAAAAATATAAAAAAATAATTTCTGTGTAAAAGATAAGATCACGTGAGATCTTATCTTTTCTGTGGGCGAAATCTTGGCGCTATTTTTATTTTCTAATTTTTTTTCTTTTTTAGTTGAATTGAAAGCTCGAAATGATATAAAAGGAAGACGGAAAGATTCAGACAGCCTTTATTGTTATATCTCAAAGGTGTGGGCTGAGTTGCTGCTGGTGCTGCGGTAGCCATGGCCATGGAGGTCGCTAAAGCGAAAAAAGACGCCGCAAAGCGGTCAAAGGCGGACGTTGCAGCAGACCGCGAAGCCAGGAAGCAGTTCGCCGAAGCGCAAGAGACATACGGACGGGGCAAGCAGGTCGCAGTGAAGTCTGTCAGGGACAAGAAACTACGGAGTAACCTGAAGAGCCTCGAGACCAAGTACAAGAATGCGATTCTCCAGGCGAAGGACTCGGAGCTGCTCCTTGAGAACGAGGCAGGATTCATCGAGGCTGAGGGAGAGCTTGAACGGACATATAAAGTACGACAAGATGAGATAAAAGAGAATGTCGGCATTGAAGTCGCGAAGAACGGATTTGAACTGAAGTTGGAAGATCTGGGGCCGTACAAGGCGGACTACACCCGCAATGGACGGAAGCTTCTGCTGGCTGGGAGAAAAGGCCATGTTGCTACGATGGACTGGAGAGAAGGCAAGCTGGGTTGCGAGTTACAACTTGGTGAGACGGTGAGAGATGCGAGGTGGCTACATAACGACCAGTTCTTTGCGGTTGCGCAGAAGAAATACGTTTATATATACGATCATTCTGGCGTTGAGATACATTGTCTGAACAAGCATGTTGAGCCAACACATCTTGAATTCCTACCATATCACTTCCTTCTCGCTAGTGCGGTACGTTTATCTTGGATCTTGATTTATGTTCTTTTTCCTGTGCTAATTATAATGCGCTATATAGGGGATGAGCGGGTTTTTGAAATACACAGACACCTCGACCGGCCAACTGGTCGCTGAAATACCAACTCGAAAGGGAAGTCCGACCTCCCTATGCCAGAACCCTCATAATGCCATCTTACATGTTGGGCATCAGAATGGAACCGTCAGCTTGTGGTCTCCAAATTCGCAGACCGCATTGGTGAAAGCTCTAGTTCACCGTGGCCCGGTACGGTCAGTCGCTGTGGATAAACAAGGCCGGTACATGGTATCAACAGGCCAGGACCAGAAAATGGCTGTATGGGATATCCGAATGTTTAAGGAGGTACATTCATACTACGTGCATCAACCTGGTTCGACGGTGGCTATTAGTGATCGAGGCCTAACGGGAGTTGGCTGGGGAACTCAGGTCAGTGTGTGGAAGGGGTTATTTCAAGCCGCCCGGGAAGATCAGGAGAAGGTCAAGAGTCCTTACATGGCATGGGGAGGTGACGGACAGCGTGTTGAGGGCATACGATGGTGTCCATATGAGGATGTGCTCGGCATAGCGCACGACAAGGGCTTCTCAAGCATGATTGTACCTGGGGCCGGCGAACCTAACTTTGACGCAATGGAAGCCAACCCTTACGAAACTACCAAGCAGCGACAAGAGGCTGAAGTCAAGTCTTTGTTAACGAAGTTACAGCCTGAGATGATCTCTCTCAATCCTGATTTCGTTGGCAATCTTGATTTGACTAGTGACAAGGCTCGACGGGAAGCCAGAGACCTGGATAAGAAGAAGGAAGATATTGCTGAAAAACTAAAGAATCGTGGCCGAGGACGAAATAGTGCCTTAAGGAAGTATCTTCGAAAACGAGGAGGCAAGAATATCATAGATGAAAACAGGCTGAAGGTCGAGGCTATGAGAAGGGAACAGAACGAGAGATTGAAGGAGAAACGCCGCAGGGAGAGAGAGGCCTTGGGCCCGGCACTAGAGAGGTTCGTGAAGAAGTAGACTCCTCTTCTCCTTCGATTCTTTGCTTGTCTGCTTGTTTCTTTGAAAAAAATAATACCCATGGGTTTATAATGCTTGTACATTTGTCATACTGCTTGCATGGTTGAACGGCGTTGCATGGCTATAGAATAGCTATTTTGAATAAATACCATTCATGAACATCTTTCAAGCCTGCAAAATGGCTGAGTTCAACGAACATCATATCTGTGCTTCACTCATCTACGGAGCCGGAGTTTTTAGGAGCACCGTTTTTCCATCTCTCCAAGCTCATGTCGTAAGCTCCGCTGCCCTTCCAGGCGCTCAATATCAAATCGACAATGTGTTCAACGCCTTTGCCCTGCTTCACCACGGCAAAGACAGTAGGGCCGCCTTCTCTCATCTTTGCCGCATCCCTTTCCATGACATCGAGGTCGGCACCCACAGCCTCCGCAAGGTCAATCTTGTTAACCACCAACAGGTCACTGCCTGTGATTCCTGGCCCGCCCTTACGAGGCACCTTGTCACCGCCAGCAACATCAATGACGTAGATAATGAAATCAGCCAATTCACGAGAGTAATTTGCAGCAAGGTTATCTCCGCCGGACTCGATTAGGAGAAGATCGGTCTTGAACTTGCGCTGGAGTTGTTGGAGAGCAAGCAGGTTGGCGCTTATGTCTTCGCGGACAGCCGCATGAGGGCATCCTCCTGTCTCGATGGCACGGATACGGGATGGAGAAAGTGCTTTGTTGCGAGTAAGGAATTCTGCGTCTTCTCTATAGCCCATGTGTAATTAGTATCATCCCCGCCATTTCGTCTCAAGGGCCACCACAACATACCGGGTAAAGATATCGTTTGTGACAGCTGCGATGTTGTATTCGTCACGTAAGGCCATGCACAGTGCCAGCATCAATGCTGTCTTTCCCGATCCTACCGGCCTGAATGCAAATGTCTCCTGTCAGTCACGATCCCCTCTTAATTGATTGAACTCGATCTCGTATCTTCTCCATCCCCGCGATTCAAGCTTTGCCAATGCAAGCCTAGTTGAACAACTAGCACGGGAGAAACGGTGAGACCTGGTAAATAAACAAGCAAGTGAACGAACCCGCCAATTCCAATGGTGAAGGCTCTGTCATTCCAGTCGCGCTTCTCTACCAGCGGCTTCTCGCGACTGATGTACGAGCCTGGCCCCTCAAGGATCTCGTGAGTATGACCATGGTTAGTCGCATCGTGCGAATGATCGTGCGAGTGTGAGTGCGACATGGCAAATGTTCTTCTTTTTATTTCCCAGGATAATGAGTGTATTGTAGCCGGCTGTCCGTGATCCGTCCGTCCGTCTGTACTTTGCTTCTACCGTTGTAGAGAGTTGGCGTGGGTCGAAAAGTTGGCAGTTTGTGATAACAGCATGGTTGTTGATAAAGCCGGGAGCCGCAACTGCCGCGGCTAAGCACCGAAATAATAACAACTCTTCCCGGCTAAGTCGTAGATCAGGGATTGGAGAAACAAGGATGGTCATTGTGGGGGCCAGAAAGGTTCCAAAAATAATAGAATTATATTAGAACAAAGATCTGAATGTATTATCATCACCGTCGCCTCGCCGTCTACTCCAAAAAAAGGGGGGGGGGGGGGGATCAAAAAGGGGGGAACGTAAAGGCAAGTAAGAAGGCAAGCAATCAAGCAGGCGAGCATATCATGCATCCATCACACGGCGCGGCCACGGCATATCCAAACAGCAGAAAAGCACAAAGTCCAAGAAGGCCGAGCAAGAAAGAGATATGGCAAGTTTAGAAAAGCAGAGTAAAAGACACAAAACACTAACTCCAAAACACCTTCTGTTGGGAAACAGAATAGAACAAGATAAGGTAGGTTAAGACATAGGGTAGAGAGGATGAAGTAAAAAAGAGATAGAGGAGAGGATTCGTAAGCTAGTAGGCCAAGCGGATGTAAAATGATAAACGGAGAGCTCCGAAGAACGATGAGCAGGTAGAAGAACAGTAAGCGCCAGACAGGGAGTTGCGAAAATAGGCAGTGAAAAGGAGGATAGCGGACCGCTGAGATGTTCAGGTTGTATTGACGGAAAGGACAATAGTTTCACAAATCTCTTTGAGATGATGCCGATAGGTAGGTAGAGGAGGGGATGGCTGGTGTCGAGATGGGAGTGGGAGCACGATAGCATAGCACGGCAAGCTCGGGGGTTCATCAGCCAGTCGGTGGAAGTTTTTATATAGTTTTGCTAATTGGCGGAGATAAATCCGGCTCATGGTCAATTAGCATCAACTGGTTCCTTTCTGTCTCTTACCACCGACTCTCGGACTGGCTTTCACTTTATTGGCGTTCCCCTGTGTAGCACCGTTGACATCCATAGAAGATGCATTGTCATCCCCTTCCGTCTTTACGGTACTTGCTCGACGGCGTTTATTGTTCACGTTTGGACTGGTATTGGCACTGGTCCCTTGGCTACCACTGGTGTTGGTGCCTTGCTGACTCTGCTGGGCTGCCATGGCTACGGGACCGGCAACAGGGTTTTGGGCTGGGCTGGGCGTATGAGTTGGCCCGCCTATGTGGGGGGATCCCTGGACACCGGGGATGCCCAAGTGGCCGACGGCAGGAGAGGCGAATTGGTTATTAGTACCGTTGACACCTGGAGTGCGTTGGCCAGGTGGCATAGAGTTAATGCCGAGAGTTGGATTTTGCTGGGAGAATGTGCTGACGAGTTGGTGAAGAGCATCTGGAGGGGATAGGTGAGGGTTTTGTAGGGAATATTGGAAGAGGTATTGCATTTGAGATATGATTTCAGCGACCTACAAACTAAAGTCAGCATTCATTTCCTGCTTGAAAGGTACGGAGGGAACCGACCTCTAAGAAGCTCATGACTGCCACGGGCACGCCGTCATCTGTGACCATAGAATCTGGTATGGCCACGGATGGGGTGGCGGAGAGTTTCTGCCGTTTGGTCATGGGTTTGCTCATTCTCGGGCTTTGCTTCTGTTCTGGGGATGGTGGAGGTTGCAATTGGTGACGAGGTATATATTCAGTATGGCCGCCTGTGCCGATATCCAGAAGTTCTATCTTGCCCGTTGGGCCATATTGAGCTACCAGAGTTCCGGTAGAAACAAGCTAACCGTTCGTTAGTCAAATTAATAACAAATATTGGGGGGGTGGGGGGTAGTATTACCTGGCATCCATTTTCAAACCAGTATATAAACGAGGTCTTTTGGCTTTCTACGATCTGGCCACCAGTAGGTAGGTCCTTTTCCGCGACATTTTCAACAATCATCTGGATTTGTTTTATCCCGCTGGTGAACTGTGTCCAGTAGTACCGAGCCAGAGCAGGTGTCGAGATTTCAAACTGTTTCGTCCCACGTTGAGCATTGAAAACAACCAGGCGTAGAACCCCGTTAGGAGCATAGAACTGTTCTACAAAGTTCTGCCAATATGGCAATCCCGGTGCAGGATTGCGATTCTAAAAAAAAAAAAGAGGAGAGAATGATTGATTAGTATAGTGAATAATGTGAGAAAAAAAGCGTCATGGTCTTACAGAATAGCCACTGAGATTCTCGGCAAAGGAGAATAGTCTGAATATGGATGAACCCTTCATGGGGTTTGGCATGCGCTGCGGCATCATCATCTGCTGCATTGCAGCCTGTTGTTGGGCCATTCGCATTTGCCCCTCTGGACCGGCCAGCTGCTGTGGTGGGCCTACATGTTGGCCCGGGGTAGGCTGCGGAGTGGGTCCCTGCTGTGGTTGCTGCTGTTGCTGCTGAGGCCCGGCCTGCGAGGTTGGAGGTATCCCTGGTTGCTGAGAAGGAGCACTAGTTCCCGGAGGTTGTTGATGCTGTGGCTGTGGATGGGGAGTACCACCTTGGGAATCATGCATTGCTTGCGCCTGGGTGGTTCTTTGCTGTGCGTTTTGCTGTTGAGCCTGGGCTTGAGCTTGGGCCTGGGCCTGAGCCTGAGCCTGGGCAGCCGCACTATTTTGATGAGCCATCTGCATCGCAAAGAGGTGCTGCTGTTGCTGATGCAGATTTGGGGCCTGGTTATGATGATTTTGAGCCTGCAGCTGTTGCTGTATGTGTGGAGGCAGGTTGCCCGGGTGCATGACCGGGTTGCCAGCCTGGGCGACGGCCATGTGGGCAGAAGTGACCGCCTGGGTCCCGTTAGGCATGGAGGCCGGGATTCCAGCATGTTGAGGTTGCGGTTGCGGTTGCGGCTGCGGCTGGCCGGTCTGCTGTTGCTGCTGCTGCTGTTGTGCCTGCTGCTGCTGCTGAGCCTGTTGAGCCTGCTGTTGCTGCTGCTGGGCCTGCTGTACTCTTTGCTGCTGCTGTTGGTGGAGTAACATCTGCCGTTGGCGCATAAACTGTTGTTGCTGTTGTAGGTGGTGCTGCTGCAGGAGTTGTGGGTTATTTGCAACTAGAAGCATATTCGTTAGTCCCCACAGTCATAATAGACATGCATGTACAAAAAAGAAGGGAGAGTTAGGTGAAACATACAGTTCTGAGCCAGATGAGGCGACTGGAACATCTGATGGGAGTGAGCGGGTCCGAGATGGGAGAGAGTGTGAGCGTTGGGACCTGGGCCTCCCGGTCCCGAAACGGGCTGCATGCCAACCGCCATTGGGCCCGGCTGGGAGGCCTGGGGAGCTCCCGGCGCAGAAACACCGGCATGGACCTGCTGCATCATGCCTCCGCCAGGTGCCTGAGCAGCGAGATGCGCGGCAGCCGGATGCTGGCCGGGGGCCATTGGGTGATTCTGCACCATGCCCGGATGGTGCGCCATGCCGACTTGAGGAGCAGGGAACGGCTGCGCCATCATCATTTCCGATTGACCACGACGCCTGGGAGACCGAGCAGAACTGTGAGGGCACCAGGGAAACACGCGACAGAGGCAGGCTCTGCTGATATCCGGCGTGTATCGACGCGATAATACGGCCGGGCTAATCCCCACGGAACCCTAACAACAGTATACTTCCGGAGCAAAAAGCGACCCCCACGGCGACCAGAAGAGCGAGATATCCAGCGCAGACGGGGCTCCAGCGGCCACACGACAGACTGCCTCGACGGTCTTCGGCCTCAGAGAGGCGGGCGCAAGGAGGAACAGAGGGCGAGCGAGGCGCTCCGGCGGAGGTTGAAGGGGCAGATTCCAGCAGGCTGGGGGCGGGAAAACGAGAGGGCGTATCAGGAGCACGGCGGCGGCGAGGAGGTCCGCCTGCACACCATCAGGTCGAGAGCAGCGCCGAGAAGGTCAGCCCGCGTCGGTCTCGTCTCTTCGCTGCGTCGTCTTCGTCGTCGCTGCTTGTCGTCGTCGCTTGTCGTCGTCGCTGTGCGCTGTTCGTCGTCGTCGTCGTCGACTTTGCTGCGTTCGACTTCAAAACTTCGAAGAGGCAAAACGGACGGCCGCGCTAGCCCCTTTGGGCTAAGGTCACGTGGCACGCTTTTTTTCGTGCGCTTAAAAAGAAAAAAAATTTTCTTTTCTTCTGAACGACGACAACAACAACAGCGAAGTCGACGATGTTGTTGGGATGATGAAGACGGTGGTGTAGGAGATGCGATGAGGTACGTGGTACTGGTGTGCTCTGGTTCCGTGATGACACAAACTCCTTCTTCTTACCTTCTCTGAGTCGCCCTTGAAGAGACATGCGGATCTTCCCTCTCCGGTTGATCTGTTGCTTGCCAGTATATCTGTCTGACTGGAACCGTCTCTCGCTGCCATTGCTGCTTCAGCGCGCTGGATGGCCCTTTGCTGACCCTCGCTAGGTGCTATGAAGCTCGCAGCCACCGCATCCGCCGTTGAACGCTCCCAGTAGAGTAGCTTGTACGGTAAGCTATCCCCTACCAATACCCTGTTCACACACATACACACACACACACCACAGCACTCTATGATGAAATTTTTTCCTACATTCGCAGTTTCCACGCTAGCTGTCGCATGAACCTAATAAGTCGACGTGTCGTTGAGCGTTTTATCTTCCTTGGATGTCTGATTTGCTTTATACACGCCTTACTCGCTTGTTTGCTCTTTGATCAGCTTGCTGTTCCTCGCTGACTGTTGCAGATTAGGTCTCTTCCCTCAGTACGTATATAGATAGCATAGCTAGTGAATGAATTGGTCTTTCTTCAGTCAAACTTGTTTCATTCCAAAATCTTCCTGACATTCAATCTCTCTCTCTCTCTCTCGCGTGCCTTTTGGTTGAGCTGTAAAATTTTCAGTGTATATGATTATGTAATCATTGCATAAGCGGTAGACGGAAAAACTAATATCCGCATATCAGATCAAACTCGAAAGCAAACGAAGAACCTTAAAAGAAGAAAAGAAACGACAGCGAGCTCAGCGCCGATGAGTCCTCGAATACCTACTCGAAACACTCCAGCCCAGTGGCAGCAGTGCTAGATCTGCCCTGGATGCTCGCCCAAATGCAATGCGCTCTGCGCTCCGTGCGTTACGGGCGCCCTGGAGCCGCCCGTTCGCTCGCCGCCAGCTCTAGACTCCGTCGACATGCCCGGTATCCGCGCGCCTTTCACTCCTCGAGCGCCCGCAGAGAGGCTCCAGAGGGTCCGCATAACCCGGTTGACACTCCTGTAAGCAACAGCAGGCCAATTGAGGGTGAGACGCCGGTACCAGAGACAAAAAATGCCGTGGCGCCAGAGGGGAAAGAGAAAGAGACCAAGGAGCCCGGTCTCCAGGCAAAAAAGGACAAACCCAGGGGCTACAGTCCGTACGGGTCAGGCGCTCGACGAGCGATGAGGAATCGAAGGGCGGAAGATAAACCCGCTAAACCGGTGGCTATCAAGTTACCAGCCTGGTTCCACCAGCGGAACATGAAGCTGTCTGATCAGTCCGCACAGGAGTCACAGCTACTACCCCTAGATGTGCAGATTTCCCAGAAGAGCAAAAAGGAGAACGCCGAGGATGGCGACCAGCTCCGTGAGGGCCAGGGAGGTGATGACGGTAGTGCCGGGAAGCCAGATGATGGCTCTCCGTCTAGCCCGGACTCTCGGTATACACTCAGCCCAGAGGTATGGCAGGAGCTAAGAGCAGCTGTACAGGCCGGTCTAACCTTGCCTGCTGCTCGATACGCTCATGACCCAGCCTCTGCAAAGCCCCATCTTGTCTTACAGTACCCTGGTGAAGGCGGAATTCTCTTTCTGGATGCTGTGGTCAAAAGCCTGGCCACGGACCTGAATACAAGCATCGTCACACTGAATGCACAGGACATTGCCGAGCTATATGGCCAACAACGACAGGAAAGTGATCAATTGTCTAGCTCCATGATGCTTCTGCTTGGCTATGACGTCTACAGGCCGGGACAACGGCATACGCAGAAGGAGATGGAGGAAGAAGCAGAGGAGAGAGAGGAAGAGGAGGAGATGGAAGATGAAGAGTCGGACCGCTGGTCTTCCCAGTCTGCCGTCCCCGTCACCAAAATCAGCGCTGATATATCAAGCTTGGTAAACCCATCCATACTGCAGTCTCTCTTCGGCGGTAAGGGTTCATTTGGAGTCGCCAAGGTAGTCCTCCCCAGTGGTGAACGCAAGGAAGGCATGGACTCGGATGAGGACGTTCGATGTCTACGACTGATCAATGAGCTCTTGGACGTGCCTCTAGGGAAGTGTGTGCAAGCTGAGCATGCAAAGGAGCAGCCATCTTCTACCCCTGAGCCCACCGAACCCATTCAACCTGCTGAAGATACCCCTACGACCCCGCCATCCCAGCAATCCTCATCACCTTTGCCAAAGAAACCAACACTCATCCTACAAATACAAGACTACAAAGACCTACTCAACACCCGGGGGGGATCCTTCTTCCTCTCACTATTGCACAAAACCGTCATGCGACGACGGCGCAACGGCGACCAGATAGTTATCGTCGGGACCGTATCTGAGCCGGAATCTGACAAGGGCCATGAGAAAGCGTTCCCAAGGCTGACTCCAAGAGACTATGACCAGCGTGCTTCAACCATCGTCGTGCCTCCAGCAATGTCATCAAAGGCTGCAGAAGAAATATTTGCCAAAGATGCAAAGAAGCGCATCCTCGACATCAACATTCGACATCTAAAAGTTATGCTGAAGACCAGACTCAGAAGGTCCGGAACCGCTGCTCAGAGCCTCCTCAACGATCAGCCCTGGGAGCTTGAGGAGGAGCTCATTCGAACCTCGGGCCTTGATACAGGATATTGGCCGTTCAGCCTTGTCCACCGCATCTCCACACTCACCCTTGGCTGTATAAAACCTGACGAAAGCCTGACACTAGACCATATTACCAAGGGTATTGAGCTAGTAGGCAAAAGTGATCAGGTCAAGTGTGACTGGCTAGGCGAGAAACAGAATAAAGCAAAACCGTCGAAACCATCTACCCATAAGGATAGACGGAATAAACTACGACCGAAATGCAATACTCATGAAGAGAAGCTCCTCAATGGCGTGGTAGATGCCGAAGGTATAAAAACTACATTCGCAGATGTCCATGTCCCACCTGAGACCAAGGAGGCCCTCAAGACACTTACCTCCCTTTCTCTCATTCGGCCCGAGGCGTTTACATACGGTGTCCTTGCAACCGACAAGATACCCGGTCTACTTCTCTATGGCCCTCCAGGCACAGGTAAAACAATGCTTGCCAAAGCCGTTGCTCGCGAGAGCGGTGCTACCGTCCTTGAAATCAGCGGATCAGACGTCTACGACATGTACGTTGGAGAAGGCGAGAAGAACGTCCGTGCCATCTTCACCCTGGCCAAAAAGCTTACACCCTGTGTTGTCTTCATTGATGAAGCAGATGCCATCTTCTGCTCTCGAACAGGCGCAAGTAACCGCACCTCCCACCGAGAACTCATCAATCAGTTCCTCCGCGAGTGGGATGGCATGAACAGCCTCTCTGCCTTCATTATGATAGCTACAAACCGGCCGTTTGACCTGGATGATGCCGTGCTCCGCCGTCTACCCCGTCGTTTACTCGTTGATCTACCCACGGAACAGGACCGTTTGGCCATTCTCAAGATCCATCTCAAGGATGAACGTCTTGCGCCATGCGTAGATCTAGCCGATATTGCTGAGAAGACACCATTCTACTCTGGCTCGGACCTGAAGAACCTTTCAGTTGCGGCTGCACTAGCCTGTGTCCGAGAAGAGAATGACATCGCTGCACAGCACAAGGGAGACGAACCGTACAAGTATCCCGAACACCGCACTTTGCGCAAAGAACACTTCGAAAAGGCAATGGAAGAGATAAGCGCATCAATCAGTGAAGACATGTCATCTCTAACTGCTATCAGAAAGTTTGACGAGAAATATGGTGACCGCAAGGGACGGCGAAAGAAGGCTCATGGCTTAGGCTTTTCAGCTCCCAACGCCGCCGACGCCCCTGGTGCTGAAACTGGCCGTGTTCGAAATTAGCCCCAACTTGTTATGTTTGATACTCCTGTATACTATTCTCCTTTTTTTTCTACTTGCCTTTTATCACCATTTGTCAGTTACCTTTTTTTTCATGGCCGTTGGGGGAAAATATAGAGGACATGTACCAATATTTCATGAAGTATTAGAAAAATAACACTGTGTTCTATGTTTACTCATAGCTAAGATTTATCTAAATACTAAACCGTTTGCGTTTACAGCCACTCTATTCAGGCACACTCTCTGTATCATCTAAATCCGCCGCAAAGAAACCGACCCGAAAGCAAGAGTAGAGATGGGACAGCACAGAACCACAGTATAAACTCCATCCGGGGCTTCCCGTCACTCTCTAGGTCCGGAATAATGACCTCCTTCTCATGTTTTTGGAAATCCTCATACAGTGATCGAACGAAATGATACTCGTTCCTCCAGCATTTGTCGATAATCTCCCGATACAACAAGGCCTCGGTATCAGGAATTTCATCTGGTCGCAGGAATCGGGGGTCCTCAAAATATTCGTAGTAGAATACTCTCTACGCGGAGACAGAATAGATCACGCTGGCGATTCCGCATAAGTCTCCCTTCGCGAAAGGGTCATCTGTGTAGACTTTCTCCATGTCTGTATCCGGAGGGAAGATCTCTCCATTGGCAAAGTCGATGATTTTAATTGAGCCATCGTGGACAAGAAGGTTGTTTGCTTTGACATCCTGATGAAGCACCTTGCTGGAATAGATGTGGTAGAAACCCTCTATCAGAGACCGAATCCAGGCTATTCGCGTTGCCTTGGAGGGCATCTCGTGTCTGGATATGTATTTTTCGAGATCACCTTGTTTTGCGTATGCCAATTTTATTGCCCCAGAGTCATCGAGAGGGCCATAATAATGGATGATGCTATCATGCGGACCCAATTGCTCATATATCTGGCGTTCGACGTTCATCATATGTAGCTTCATATCATTATACACCCGGGCTTCCTCAGATGGGTCAGGGTCTGATTTCGGGTGCTTGACGACATAGGACTCATCCACTGCGCGGATATCGCCTGTCAAGCCCATTGAGAGCTGACGGCCCGGATAGTTTGGGGGTTTGATATATTTGATCTTCATTTCCCACCTCGATTGTTGCAAGAACAAGTGATTGCAAGTACTAAGGGGTTGTCGTTCTTGATATGTGTTGTTAATGTTATGGGCTCAGGGGTTCAGCCTTCGCTCCAACTAATGGTTGGTAACCAGACTACGAAGTAACCAGCTAGTTAGCTAGTTAGCTAGTTAGTTAACCGGTTAACTTCCAGCACTAACTGACGAACTTACTGCCTAGTTTGTTGGTTGTGGAATAGAGCTTATCAGCCAGCCAGGTAGTATTTACTAATGGACAGCTATAAACGGGGGAATTTACTGTAAATTTTATACAAAAAAGTCACACGGAGCAGTTTTTATGTTTCACTGACTAAAATAACTAGACACCATAGTACTCTGTACAATAAACGGCACGACTTTCGTTTCAAGGGGGTAGTTCCAAATTATTTTCGCACTGGGGTTGAGAAATTACGGCGTTTCTACCTAGCTACACATCAAAGGACCCCTGCTAGTCACGTAGCCAACAAGTTAACTAGTCACTAGTTAGTCTCCCTATATCAAATCACAAAGGTCGAGGTCATACAGGTGGGTAGCCCTCAAGCACCGACGGCTACTCCGCCAGAAGGGGTAGAAACCGAACCGCCGGCCCCCGCGCTACCATCATCCTCTGGTTTTGGTGGAGGTTTTTTCTTACGACATTCAATACAGACGAACCTGAGACCTATGCTACGACTCTTCCCCTTTGAAGCCTTTTCTAGGTTTTTACAAAAGGATCCTCGGGCTTTGGCTTTATCGCAGGGATATATTTGCGCCGTTTCGTTATCTGGGCCTTTGTGGCCACATTTGTAAGTATGAAAGACCTGGCTTTCCTAGATACATATCGTCGGTTGGCTCAGCTATAATAGTAGTAATAGAATGAGTATCGTCTGAATTGATAGATATGTAAAGACGATTTAAGAGGTTAGAAGCCCGTCTTTACGGTAAAAAGCAGGCCTTTTATACTCCAATCTCTAGATATAATTCCTGTCCAAGGCTGCGTCTGCCTGGCTCCCAAAGGTTTCTATGACTCGTTGCAGTGTACTGCCATGCAACAGGGGGAATGTGATAGATGTTGCTTTGCTATTCAATTTGTTGAGCGTGGTAAGGCGTGCTGCTTCCATGCTACTAGCTACGCCGCCATCCAGGCAGACACAGTCAAATCCAATCAGATTTAGCTGTATTATGCAAGGCTGAAAATCTGACTTGCCCCCTTGAAATGTGCCCGTGTTGACCTATCGGATGCTTAAATGTGGTGAACTTGTATATAGAGTGGGCATTTTGACCGTGGGTTTGCATATACATGCTGGGCTTTTGAGGCTATGGATTCCCTTCAATAATATATATGAAAATTTAGGACAGTGTCTATTTCGACCGGTTTCAAGCAGATAAGGCATTTGAGAACATCGACGGAGGTATTACTACCATCTGCCGTATAATTATCTGATATGAAGCCCAAGTGGCAGAAAAATAAGCTATGCGGGCCGCACGTTGGGTGGAGCATACCTTAACCTTAAATAACTAACTAGTTAGTAGGCGAACTGCTCTGTAGTTAGCGAACGAGATACTCTATGTTGTAACTAATTTAGAAAAGCTAATGAGATTTCGAAGAATGTGACATGAAGTGCCCTGGGCAACCACCCAAGAGATTGTTATTAAGTGACACTAGAGCGGTATCGAGCTAATCAACTCGTTTACCACATAGTTTCAATAGTTGCCTAGTAAGCGGCTGTCAGGTAAAGGTGCGCGGATGTAAGTGACTCCGGCAAACTGTCCAGCCATAAATCTAGTCCAGCAATCCAATGCTGTCCTTTCAATGACTCTATCCTATCTTCAAACTCCGATAGTATTTCTTCCAACTTGAGCTGAAAACTATGGAGCTCCAGGCGGCGCGCTATGTTGCGGAGAGATGCGAGAACTACCCTTGTAATGTGGTCGTAGGTTGGAAAGCATTGACTTAACTTACGAAACGCCATATGCCAGTATTTATATGCCTCCTTCCAGTCAGAACTGGTATGAAAAGATTTCGCGAATAGAATTAAGACATGTAGCTCCTCCCTCTCGGAAATATGCGCCTGACACACAACCTCGCAACCGATAAGTTGTGCTTCGGCATAGCGTTTTTGAGCAAAGATTGATTCGGCTAGTGCGAGGTTCAGGAGAGGTGCAACCTTATCTTCCTCTTTAGCTTGTCTGAGAATTTCTTTTCTAAGTTGGCTTTCGGCATAGGTAAAATCATCAAGTTCTATCAGGGTGCTGCCGATATTGAAAAAGAGATCAGTGCGGTATGGAGTGAAGAAGAGTTTTGGTTGAATACCAATAAGCCACTCTGATCTTTGAAGGTGTGACAATGACTCGTTGAATCCTCCTCGATAACGGAGAAGTTCGCCCATGAGGAGATGTTTTCGAAATAATATGGTAGACTCGATTGGACTAGGATGCCGACTCATCGCTTCCCAGCCCTTTAACAATTCTATGGCCTTATCAAGTTCACTGGCTAGGGAATAATCCAGTGCACGCTGGATGAGGATGTGTCCATGTGCCCAATGCGTTTTGACTTTGTGTGAGGATGGGTATCGGCTCACGATAGGGAGGATAGAGTTGAGGACCTTCTTAGCCTGGGCCACATCGCCTGTGAGACGAAGAGCGAGGGACTCCTTATGTGCAACATAATATTCCAGGTAGCGTCTTTTTAGTCCAATCGTAAGTTCCTTAGCGTTGGCAATAGCGAACAGGCGACCTTCGACGTCTGTGAATCTAGACGCTTCGAGTAAGCTGGAAATCACTTCCGCCTTCTTATTCGAATCTAGAGCCCAATATCTTTCGTTATTTTTTATCTCAAGCAAGGTGTGCTTCAAATGTGCGAATTCTGTAGACATATCCGTTGGTCTGAAACTGGTTAGTAGCTGTAATATGTATCCATAATCTAGGGCATACACACTCAGGCTCAAGATATTCCCAGGGAATAGTTTGAGACGCAAAGAGCAGGGCCTTTAATCTCCAGAAATGACGCAACTCTAGAGGCAATGCTGCTAAAATCTTAGTTGAATAAACCGGGTCCATGCGAAAGGCGTTGCTAGGGCCGATTGAGATAGCCCCATCGAGTTGAAGTTTACGCAGTATAGGCAGTAACGCTGTCGAGTCTGTAAGTAAGAGGGCAAGCCCGTAATCGAGGTCTGCCTCAGTCTCGTCGATACCGCCAGAGTCTGCCCAACGTTTTCGAGGAGTGGCTCCACGAGTGCAGAGGGCTAGAGAAATGGCATCCCGTCCAAGAAAGCAGAAAAGAACCAGTGCAAGACGGACACATCTAGAGTAACCTCCAAGAACTTGGGAAACTGCTGTCAAAGTCACCTTCTTCAAGCGACGGTCAAGACTTGCTGTATTCTGGTTGCATTGAGCCATGGCTATTAATCTGGTAAGTTACTATATTTTGCCTGTCGGTTGGTAAAAATATCAAACGTGTGAGAGAAATGAGTAAATAAGAAGCAGGACTGAAGAATGCTAAAAGAGAAGTGGTAGCAGAGCTAGTTAATTAAAAGGTATCGTTTCAGACACTGACGCTCTGTTGAGCAGCCAGAAAGAGGTAGAGGCCTCAGTTGTAGGCGAATACTCATCTAAAGGTCCTTTATCACCAGTGATGGTAATGTCAGACTGAGTGAAATTGAGATTGATAACGTAAGAAACAATAGTAGCCCAACTGAAGGATAATTTTAGTTGGAGGTTTTGTATATTGTTTTGGTCTTTGTCGTTCTGTTGAGTTGCGGAAGGAGGTAAAGGCTTCACTTGTAGTTGGAGTACTCATTTATAGGCACCTCTATGCCAGTAATTGTAATACCAAACGGAGTGAGATTGAGATTGGCAATAAAAAAGTAGACTAACCAAGGGATAGCCGGAACCTCTGAATAGATCAAAGTAGTTTTTAACGGAGTGGGTATATCCGATTGTAGGCCAGGAAAAGGTGGTATTGAGAATAGAGCATAGGCAGATCCATTTTTAGTTTGTTCTTTAATATCAAAGCCTGGCAATGGTATTTGATGTTAGAAGCATCAGATATCACTTTAGGGTAGGAATTAGTGTCGGCTGGGGTAATAATATTGATGGACCAATGCCAATATGCTATAAGTTGTTAGTTACTGAACCACTAAACTGGGCTTAAAATAGCATCATAGACTCAGCTGACCTCTATTGGGTAGTTATGGCTTCGTCTGTGCTATCAACCATCGAATAGATCAAGTTGGCCAAAAGTGTCACTCAACAACTCGTAAATCGTCCTTAGACTGCCCCAGGAAGGTGTCGTGTATGCCATCGGAATTTTGACCACTCGGTTATGGCCATAAGTTCGAGACCACTCGGCCGTATCCCCGTGAACAAATAAACACAACCCTGCAAGCCAGCTCCGTCGGACAATGGGCCAAGAGTTCATGAAGTATTCAAGTCAATCGTATGACGACGAAGCCAAATCGTATGATTTCTGGGCGTCAGATGTAAGCCCGGACTCTTCGGCCGTGCTGTTAATAGTTACCTGTCATGGCGGCAAAGACAAGGCTGACCGTTGGCTGAAGAGTCCTCTCGTCTGGCCCGAATTCTAATCCAGGGATTGACCAACGGCAGCCGGCCATGCAGAGTCGCCTGACAGCCTGCTTGATGCCGCCGCTTTTGCGAGCCACGAAACAGTAATCGAAACAGTAGTGCCTCGGTGAATTTCTGGGATTTGCATCTTGTGTATCATGGTCGATCAGGGCGCGGCACGGGTAGAAGGAGTCTTGGATAGACTAGCAGCCGCGATATTCTCCGGTGGTTGTAGGATATAACAGCCTAGGCAGATCGAGCAACAGAGCCCGTCTTCGAGCGCTCGAAGGAACATCTCTAGCGCGCCATAGAAACAAATCTTGCATTGAGTCTCCAGAGAATCATGCTTTGATCCTCCGTCGGGATCTCCCATGCAGTAGTAAGGAAACAACATTTCGAGATGCGGTTTTGATATCCACGAAACAGCCTAGGGATAAGCTTATAACGGCCACCAGCAAGGGTGTCTCCGCCGTCTTGCCTGTCTTTGCGTAACTATATATCGAGGGACATAGACACCCCCTGGCGGCCCTGCTCGCGCTCTGCCGTCTTTCTAGTCCAACTTTTGGCCTGCAGGGCAAGGCGTCAGTCAACCTGCTCAATAGTTATTAACCATCCAAGCCGGCAGGTCAAGCCACAATCTCACCACTTTGGCCCCTCCACGTCTCTCTGCCTGCTGTCCGTCGATACGAGCGAGCAGCAGCAAGCGAGCCATTCGCCTACGCAGCGTCTCTCTCGTCTCCTCGGGCTCTTTCACCTGGCTCCGGCCTGCTTGGCTCTCTTGGGCGGCGAATACCTGGGATCTCGCGACCGCCGGGCCGTCCTGGATGACATCTCGCACGTAAAACGGGTCGACCGCAGTGCTGGGCGATATCGAGCTGCTGCGTATTACTTCTCCTGGCTTCTGGACCCTTCGCCGGTGGTGTTTGGTGATAGTTATTTATATTCCCGCCTAGTCGTTGCGTCGCTGGTCGAAAAAACATCCTTGCTGCTTTTCTCCAAACATATTCACATATTATTCACAGACACCTCCACCCAGCGGCACAAGAGCACCGAGATACACCGCACCAGAGCAGCTACTGGCCTCTCGTCTGCACCCATGGATAGCTTTGGCAGTTTACCTCCTCCCAATCCAGTTGTCCCCGCGCCGTCGAATTCTGTCTTTGCAAGTCTGCATCGCAGAAGCCGCACCGCTGAGTCGCCTAGCTCAGTCACAAAGACCATAGAAACCAGAGACGCCGCAGCCAGGGAGGCGAAGCGGTTCCTCCTCCAGGTCGTCCGGAATGACTGGGCTTATCCCCCGCTGCCGACACCACCTGCTGCTGCTGCCGATGCTGCTGAACCGGACACCCCGCGGGCTGCTGAGGGCGCGCCGGCAGAAGAGCCAGAGGAGCCGCGTGAGATAGCGTGGAGGCACCGGGAGATGGACAACTCAGGTTCAGAGTGGGAAGATGGGCTGGATGGTCCTGAGGGACTGGATCCGTACAGGTTTGAGTCGCCTGAGGCCGTTGCGCGGGGGCTATCGGACAGACGCAGGAAACGCCGCAAGATACAAGAGGACGAGATGAAGTGGAACGAAGGGCTGAGCCTTTGGACGGCAAGGAGAGACGCTTGGACGGGTGCAAAGGCGCCTGAACGGCCTGCTGACGCCGCTGTGAGCGGTTCAAAGGCGAATCTCGAGGCGTACAGACAGTCTATAAGCAGCGAGGAGAGCTATAACGGGAGCTACGATACAGACCTGGTTGATACCGAGTCGCAATATACCCTCTCCCGGCCTGCGTCCAACGCCTCAGCCACCGGTCACGTCAAGCCGTCGGAGCCACCAGCCGATAATGCACCCACAAGGGACAATGTAGAGCAGCTTACCGTCTCATTGGATACAAAGTCTGCCTTAGACTGTCAAGCCGCCGCAACATCAGACGCAAAGCAAGGAGAGGATGACGATGATGAGTGCCTGGTGCCCATCATGGGACCCCTGATTCCTGATTCCAACATGCTACGAGCTGCTATCACTCCCAATGTCTACCCGGCAATTTATAGCAGACTCGTCATCCAGTCGAACACGCCCGCCGTGCCTATCAACCTCTCTCATATGACCCGAGCCCTCGTCCAGGGATGGAAGACAAACGGCGAATGGCCCCCAAAGCCAACGCCAACAAAGGATGTCCCTGTTATCAAAAGGCCGAAGCAGCCAGCTGTCAACACTAGTCTCAGTGCCAATGCCAATGCCAATGAACATGGTGAAATGCGGGATGGCAAGGGAAGAAGGTTGTCCGGCGTCAGCAATGCAGTAAAAAAGGTCCTCGGGCTGTCTTCGTTCAATTCAGGAAATAGGCTGCATCTACGCTCGAACAGCCATAGTGGTTCAGTATCCAGGCCTCCAACGGAGGATTCTCTTAACGCGCCTTGATGGCCGTTTCCCGTGCTCCGGATGAAATGTGTTACGCTGTTTTATTGATGTGTTACGAGTTCCCTCTCTTTCTGTTTCTCTACTACGTACATCTACACCTCTCGTTTCTTTCTCTACTTTCATGGCTGGGATACCCTGTTGCCCTTCTATGTTCGAGTCAGATACCCAATAAGCAAACATATGGCTGTTTGGAGTTTGTTCTTTCAATATTGTGGGGAGCGTCATCCATGTTGGTGCTCAATAGCTTGCCTACTTCTAGAGCAGGCTGCGATGTTAAGGGCAGCTCTTCAAATTGATTTGAAATATATCACTTCCTACTAGAGCATCTTGCCCGTCTTCAAAACCAATGAACATACATTATTTTATGACTCTTATCTACCGCTATTAACAAACCCAAATGCATCGTCACGTCGTTAAGGCTAAACTTGAAAGAGTAGTAGAAAACAGGAAGTAGGAGAATGCAAAACTGGCGCCCGTTAAAAAAGCTGCAGTGTCTCTATGGCGCCGAAAAGAGCCTGGACGGTCTGTATGAATGCCGTCTTTGTAAGCTCAACTGATAACGTGCCAGGGTTGACATCAATCTTTGTATACTGTTGTCCGCGTCGGACAAAATACCTCCCTTCATGTACTGCCCAGTTGTCTTCGAGCCATGATTCTAGTTCACGGGCCGCAAAGTTCCGAGACTCGGTGAAGAAGGCTGGAGGGCCGGCAATTTGAGACTCCAGTGAGTTGATGAGATCATGGAGGTATGGGATCCTAGTAGCTGGTGGATCGAGGAGAGTAGACAGTCCGAATAAAGCGACTTGCCCGAAAAATTCAACGTAGGATAACAGATCAGTTGCTTCCTGGCCCAGTCGGTCGAGGTAATCCACCATGGCAAGAGAGGCTATTATGCTCTCGAAAAGGGATGCGAGAGTGAGTAGCACAGATGATTCTTGCAATAGACCTGGATCGTTGATGGGATATTGCATGGCAGTGTAGACGGCGCCGAAATATGCTGTAATTGAGGTAATAGCAATGTCGATCTCGTCCTGTTTAGTGCAGTCGACAGACATTACTAAATTGGAGAAGACGCGAGTCGTAGCCTGGATAAGCGGACGGGCTACAATCCACGCCGTCGGGTTGCTAACTGACACCACTACATATTCAGGAATAACGCATTGCAAAAGAAAGCATCGGAGAGATGGTCTCTCGTAGCCTCCGCTCTCAGACGCATCTGACATGGCTTCGTAGAATTGACCAGCAAGATAACTTTGTTGTGCGTCGACCGCTGCTCTTTCGGACACGCCTTGGATATAAGTAACAAGCTGCTTTGCAAACCGGCTACCACCAGATAACCGTCCTGCATATCTCTTGAGTTTGGCAACCACATAGTTTGGGTCAGATGCTGGTAGAGGGAATGATGCTGGATCCATAAAGTACTTGTCAACTGGATATATATCTTCAGAATGTACCTGTAGAAGCTCGACAACCCTATGAACGAAGTCAACGTAAGAACCTGGCACCACTGCCTTTCCAACTTCCTCGGAATTTTGTTTCATAGTCGCCATCATCGCCCGTATCATCTCCTGGTATGTTTCTCCGAATCCATTAGGAGCGTTGAGTTGGGCAGGCGGAAGTTCTGGCAGGTGCATCCGCATGTTTAGTAGCACGCAGGAAATAAGGGAAACTCGTCGTTGACAGAAATCCATCAACGTTATCTCATATTTGCCAGTTGTCCCGCTAGCTGCAAATGGTAAGTTTCTGAAGAGAGGGTTCTGGCGATCTTCATTCAGCAGGGCGTTCGTCAACTCATGTTGATATTTCAAGAATACCTCCCGTTCCACAAGTGAGGTGCCCCAGTAAGTCAGCATATGAGGCCGGCATTCGTCATAAGACGTTGGATCACTTGAAATCAACCGCGAAATAAAGTACGGCATAAACTTGCGCGTTTGATCTGTTGGCTTCAACGCTGGCCAGGAGTCTTGGTCGTATCTATTGAAGTAGCTGCTCCATTGCCGCATACCATGCTTTACCCTAATTTGAGCAACGGCCAGCCAGCAATCAATTGTCTTTGCGAGGATTGAATCGTCGGGAGTCTGATCTACTCCAAAGCAGGTCGAAACAAAATGAGAAATTGCAGGCGCAATTGTATGATTCAGATACGACGAGCCGGTGCTAGCGACCTCTAGCTGCTCCTGGCACAGATCAAGCCAATCATCTTGACTTTCATCATTGTTTTCGGATGGATCGTCTGGGTCCTCGACTGTACTAACCGCAGCAGCTGTTCTATCGTCAGCTTTGGTGAAGGATTTCAAAACCTCCAAAGCCTGGCAGATAACCCCATCTCGCCTTTTCACCGTGGGATTGAAAAGTCCGAATATCCTTCCAAGAGGCATCTTCTCCATTAATAGCCCCGCCTGATCAACATTTCCTGCCACATCGATAGCTGACTTCATACACACAAGAGCATCGCTTATTAGGGATTCGGCGTGCCTCTCATTCTTCGCAATGGCGCCTTCAATGTAATGACGAGGAAAGAAAGTGGCAGATCTGGCCTCTATTTCTATTTCACTCCGAGCTTGAGAGTGTAACTTCAATATATCTGTAATAAAATCGCCGTGCCATTCTGCAAATTTGCCCAGGTCTGGCGTATTTTCATCCTTGATCAGTGTGAACCTGACCAGCCTTGACCAAGAGTGAATGTTGATGCTGCATGCATCTTTATGAGAAGTAGGAGGATGCACCAGACGCTGGATCGAAGTAAGGTGAGGCCGACATCCCCTTGGCGCACAGCAATACAACGCACAGAGAAGATCATGATGATTTCTCAACGCATTCAAATCTTCCACGCGTAGAGGTTTCTCCTTGGGATACGTTCGGCCATGATTAGGCAGCAGACGCCAAACTAAGTTGAGAATCTTCTTTGGTTCAAGTAAACTGTTCAAATACCTGAATCCCACCACGACAATTTTCAAGAACACGCGGAAGCAGCTGTCGGATGCTTCTATTTCGAGCACTGGGTCTGAATCAAGCTGGTCAATAAACCAGGGAGACCCATGTACTGGTTCTTTCTCGAGATCATGCAGCGAGTTTCCAGTGAAAAAATCAAATAGCATCTCGAGGATAAGCTTGCAATTTCGCCAGCCCCAGAATTTGATGAGAATAAAACAACGATGCAGGAGAGTTCGCAAATAATGGTTTAAGAAGGCCCATTGCTCCTTAGGGTTTGACCTGTATGACTCCAAAATTTTGGAAATCAACTGTTTGACAACGGCCCAGTGGTCATTTTGTAGTTGAAATCGTAGCCCAGCCCGAAAGACCCCCAGTTCGTCGATTTCCTGGAAAGGGAGCAATATGAAAATCGCTTCCCAGACTCGTTCTAGGTCTTCAATGCTATGGTGCGCAAGAACCATAACCCGATCCAAACACTGAGCTTCAACGCCCATGTCCTTGATGGATGTCTGCTGGAGAATGCGTTGAGCGATCACAAGTGCATCCACAAACGGATATTCATCTCGAATTCCAGTTTCACGTTTTTCCAGCTTTCTGTTATCCTCTAGGAATTGTTGAATGTTTCGTACACCAACAGGAGTTAGGATAATATCCATTATCCGTTGCCCGGAGAGCTTCATCAACTCAACAACGGGCCGAGCCCTGGCCAAGTCCATGGTTTCATGTTTTGAGACCTGTAACAATTGGTTCAAAAACACTAGGTTGAACATCTCAATCCCCGATGTGAAAGCAGCTACCCCTGCTTCAGGGTCAGGGCTAGACATGAACGTCTCGGTTATTTGAGTAACAAAACCTGTACACCTGGAAACGAAATTTATACGATCAATGGGATCTATGAAGCTCAGATGCTCTGAAACATAGCAAATAATATCCCGGTATAATCTCAGCACTTGATCCGGAGCAGAAGTGGGCATAGCTCCGGCATCATTTGTTCCTGAGTTGGTTTGAGAGGCTATGAAAGCAAATACCTCTCCTAACTCTGAAGAGACCATCTCATTCCAGGAACTCCAGTTGTAGATTTTACCTACATGTTGAATAGTGGAATGTCCACGGTCAATATCTAAGTCTTGAGGTAGACGTAGAGACTGAGAAAATTTCCCACTTCCAATGAATGTTGACTGGTGGTAATATGTGCCAGTATAGAGTGGATGGGTATCGAAGTCAAGTTGGTATGGCCGTTCAGGACGATGTAAACCAGGAAGCGTAATAAGGTAATCTTCTTCTGGGTGTGCGAACGAAGCTGTGTCACTAATTACATTATCGAAGTCAGGGGGTTGACGATATTCAATAGTTTCAACGTTGATATGTTTAGGCTGGCGCTTCTTTTTGGTTATTCTGCGTTTTTCTGGTTCTTTGGTAGTTTGTGGAAGAGGAGCAGGAGCTTCTACTGTAGGTTGTCGTAATTGTAGTTGTTGCGGTTCATTTAAGAATCTTGTCAACGTCGGGGGCTGGGATGACGCTTTATATGCTTTGCGAAGAGCTGCAAGGGTGCCGTGGAATGTAGATGGCCGCTCAGGAAGGGTGGTGGGAATATCCTCAATATCTAGCTGCGCGGGCCGGGGAACCTGACTATGAAGGGATGATATGCCATATGGACGTTGGACCACCCAACTGTTTTTCAAACTTTGCTGTCTTTTAATTGACTTGGTACGGGCTGGATTTTCTGTTGAGTTATCGTCATCATCAATGATTATGGGTTCGGCGACTTCCCCAGGTATGGATATGGGCCTTCTAGCTGGGTTCCCAGCCGGGGTTTCAACGCCTGAAGCGGTTGACGGAGGTTGGGCACTTTTTTGAGACTTAGGTATCGCCCTCGGGCGTGCGGAGGTTATACTCGAGGCGGGCTGATATTTTCCTGACCTCCAGTTACGCAATGCAACGTTTGCATCGTGCGTATCAGCCTTCGTGGCCAGTTTCAATACCTTGCGAGATGGGCTTCGACGCCCCTTATCTCTGCGTGAGCGAGCTTGCCTGGCTGCAACTCTTAAGAATTGTGGCGGTGCATTCACATGTTGGTTCCTAACATCCTCCGAATCTAAGATACCCAGCTTCGGTGCACGAGGTTTGTTGGGCCGTGATTTTCGCCGAGTGTGTATGGTATCTGTGATTCTTGTCTGCCGTTTCCTCTGAGGCTGTGACTGCCAGCTTGACCTGTGTTCACCATCAATGCGTTCTGAGGACTGGATTTTGCGTTCCCCCCTCCTGGAAGACTTCTTCGAAGTTGATCGACGGGAGGCCGGGGGGGCCATATAATCAATTCGATTATCTTCCGGGATATCATCGTCATCGTCAAATAATCCAAAATGGTGTTCAAGGCGTTTTTGTTCGCGCAATTCTTGTTCCTTTTGCTGCTGCGATCTTGTTGGCGTCCCATCGTCCTCAGACTCAGAATCGCTGAACAGGTCGAAAGGATTTGAGCGAGTAGTTGCCTCCTGCTGGTTTTCAAACCCTGCCCGCCTCAATATGGGTTGTGCAACCCCTTTGCCAGCCCTCCGTTCCCGGTTCAATACTCTTCGATGCTCCCTCTCAGCAGCTTGTCTCTTGTACTCCTCATGCATCCCATGGTCAAGCCTAGCAAAGGAAGCAGGCAGGACCCCCTTTATCCGTCGCTGTATCTGTCGAATGATAAAGGATTCTTCTTCGGGGCTATCAGATGAAGATTCGTCCTCAGGCTGTTCTATAATTGTAACATCTTCTTCCTCACGCTCAACGGTTGAGGGAGGATCACTTGAAATGATATCAGGGGGTTCTAACTGCGTTACTTTGTCGGATACTGGAGTCTGCAGCTGATTCCTAGGCTGGGCAGGAGTAAATCCTGGGGGAAATCTAAAAGTATCTGGATCCCTTGGAAAGGCAGAAGACCCCTCTCCAGACGAAGGAGGGGAAGGAGGTACGTCAAAGATGTCGTATAATTTTTGTAGATCGTCCTGTTGTTTGGATTTGGAGCTGGTATTTATAACAACCTGGGGCCTATTCCCTGCGTTTTGGGATGAGTTCCCGGAACGACGATTCTCCATTATATGAGAAAGCTTACGTCGTTTATTTCCTGCCTGGCTAGGCTTGACTGAGCGAAGCCGGGAATTGGTATCATATAGATCTCTTAACTCGTCTCTCTGGCTAGTTGTATCACGATCACTGAGAGACTGGCTCAAACCCGGCTGATCATATACGTCAGGCGAGGAAGGCGGAAGATACAGAGGGCTACTTGACGGAGGAACATTCTCATCCTGAGACTCAAAGCTTTGACTATCCCCTGTGGCCTTTTGAGGCCGCGGTTCACTATTAGGAATCCGTACAGGTTGCAGACCTCTATTCCTCAAAAGTGATCGATACTGAGCGTTCTCCAACATATAAGGATGCAGCTGGATTGCATTTCGCTGTCTCAGGGCCCTCCGGCGGCTTTGGTTCTGCCATTGCAAAAGCCCAGCATCAGTCATGTCAATGTCCTCATCATTGAGTTGAACAGTTTCCTGTTGTTGTGGCAGCTGGGGTTCCGTATCATTTTGTGGTAGTGCCAATGACGCTTCTCCAGACCGAGGGGACTCTAATAGTGGTGGTACAGATGACAATGGAGATGAGTTCAGACTATCGAAAGGGATATCATTGTCCGGCACTTCAGTCTTTTTGGAGAGAGGGGTAGATTGTGGTTGCTGACGGAATTCCTCAAATTGTAGCTCATCCGGGGACGACGGCGGTTGCGGCTCAGAGAGTGTATTCTCTGGGTTTTCAGGGCCATCGGGGCTCTGTCTTCGTCTGTTGCTCGGGCTCAGAAAAGCCTGCAATACAGTCTGATAGTCCTGTAACGGGTCGGTATCAAGATCATCCTCACTCGGGACATGTGTACGCTGAGAACTGTCGAATGCTCTACCCTCATCTTCCTTTTGTGTTTCTTCTTCGACACTATTCTCTCGCCCATCATCGCCTTGCGGAATCTCATAGCCGGTTTCCTCAATATGTGTGCCGTCATCCTCAATCACCGGCTCACCACTAATACCACCGAGCAACTCCTGGCTATCAAATTCGTCTCCTTCGTCCGAGTCAGGAACATATCCACGTTCACGCCATTGTTCCATTTGCAGCACCCCATCCCTTTCACTCCATCAAGAGCAGGAAAACGGCGTCAGAGGTCGAAAAGTCGAAAGGTCGAGGTTTGATTCTCCATCAAGCTTGAAAAGCGCGTTCGACGCGACTTAAAGTGGTATATATCTGCTTACGTAATATATTCAACGTCACGAAATTCGGGCTTTTCGAATGCGAAAAAAAAAAAAAATAAATGAAGAATTCCATCGCTGAAGGAGACGACGCTGGACTATTTGCCTGAGCGACGATTGTCCGGCAGACAAGCTGTTTATATAGCTGAGGATGGCTGGTAAAGCGGGGCTTTTGCCTGTTGCTTTAGCTGTTGGCTTGGGGATTCTCAATGGTGAGATAGGCCGGTTAATTTTGAAGCTGATGGACAGCTGCTAATCTCAAACCACTCGACAGGTTACATGGTTTTCAAACCTGCTTATCAAGAGCGAGAGACTCAGAAAACGTTAGGAACATTGTATGTGTTAAACAAAAAAATACCATTGTTTAGTTGTTATACTGGCTAATATCCGCACCAGGCCAAAGGAAACCGAGCCTACATATACACGACAGATATATAATTGGTGGACTGGAAACAGCACAACGGATAAAACAGGACAACAGAAATGAATAGCCCTTTGGTTGATTGATTAAAGCCGGTTATTCCTCTTTTGAATAGAGATTGAGTGATGCAACAGCGAATTCAACCACCTAAAAGGCCAAAGCAGGCGGGCCCTTCCGTTTTGTGGAAATGACAGGAAAAAGTCAGGATAGCATAGGCTCATCCGTTGGAAGGGGTTTTATACAAGCAGTAGCCCTGGCCCTGCACCTGGCTCTGACTCTGGTGTCTGAGCCCTGTCTTAATTCAAGGATCATAGGTATACGATGCTGATAGCACCCAGAAGGGGCCATGACCTGAAAAGATGGCACGGCCTTTGTATGATGCGCGGCTGTACGATATGTGAAGCTACTGTTGTAAATATTCACGGTGATACGCATATAATTTTGCATGGACTAAATTAATAACATAATAATTTGCAGTCAACCTTTCAACGCCGTACTCCCGAAGTAGTAACTGGAACCTCAGTCTTAACACCACCCACAAACATCGTATCCTGTAAAGCTCTCGAAGGATCAGAAATGACGAAAGCCAGGGTGAGTGAGATAGATAGCTATATCTCTTCAACAAGCTTTCCGGTATGAGTGGCAGGGGTAGGGTTACCGAATATGTTCCCGGCAGGAGTACCAAGCCATTCATTCGGAACCCCGATGCGGTAACCGTTACGGTTTATAACGCATCTAATCATCGTGGGATCAGGCTTTTCAGGTTCCTGGGGTTCTTGTTGACCAGGAGTGCTTTCTCCAGCGGCTTCAGCAGCACTTATCTTGCCACGGCGTTTGGGGGCTTGTTTCTTCAATAGTTTATTTATAGTATCCATCTGAAGGGTTGTTAGCTTCTGAGAACAGGATTGGAGTTAGATTTTGTGCTTATATACCTTTTCTTCTTCGTTGCGCTTCTCACTGAGATTCTTCCTTCTTCTTGCCATCTCTGCACGACGCATGGCGTGTTCTTCTGCAGTTAGGTGTTTCTTGACTTGTGGTTCTGTACATTGATGTTAGCACGGTGAGACATGTTACTTTGCAAGGAGCGACTCATACCCATTGGCAACTGCAAGAAATCACCTCCAAGCTCGATACGGCCACGCTGTCGTCTAGTCATCTTACTCAGGTCGGGGGTGCTTGACCTGCTTCCACCCATGAGCTCTTCATCAGACTCATCCTCCTCGTCCTCCTCTTCCTCGGGTTCGTCATCGTTAGTTTCAAGTCCCAAGGTATCATCTTGTCCGCCAATATCGTTATCGGATTCCAGTTCAGAGAGCCCTTCCTCCTCATCTTCTTCATCATCATCATCTTCCAGAGTAGCTCTTGAATCTGTCTTTCTCACTTTTGTAGCAGCTGCAGGAGTGACTGTAACAGTAGGCCTAGAAGCCGCCTGTTTGGCGATAGGAGATACCGGTGGAGCATCATCCATATCAATATCGCCCTCAGCATCGATATCGGGTTCACCATCAGCATCCAGGTCCGAATCACCTTCGGCATCAATCTCGTCATCTTCTTCATCTTCCTCATCTCCAATGTCCGAGGGGTCGTCGTCCTCATCCGAGTCCACCTCCACGACTTTCCTCTTGGATCGACTGTTCCTTGGCCCCGTCATAATGACATTCTCTGTGAAGATATTACGAGGCTTGTCGAGGTCATCTTCTCCATTTGTCACTTCACGGAGCTTGCTTGCAGGCATTTTGACGGTAAGTCGAATTGATTTCCTTCTTCCTTCAGGAGATGTAGATGGTGACCGAGAAACGGTCACTGTTGTGATAGTTGTAGATCTATTCCTTGTAGAGCGCCTCGACCTTAACGTCGCGCCGATAGAGTCTGCGTTCATAGTTAACTTGGTGACACCAGCACGAGAGCGAAGAGAGCGAGTGGAAGACATTTTGGGTATATTGATATCGGCTTGCTGGCGGGGGTAATTTTGCTTTCTTCTGTGATGATGGATGTTGACGGTGAAAAGGAAGAGGGAGAGGGAGCAGCAGCAGAAGAAGAGGAAGAAGAAAAGACGATGTGTCGATGTGTTATGCAAAGAAAACAAGTTATATAGAGGGGCGGCGACTTCTACCCGCGGTGAATATCTCTTTCTCTACTGCAGGTTGGAGTTCCCGCGGAAAGGCAGCAAGAGGGAAGATGCATATCACGACCGCTCTCTAGTCTAGAAAACAAGGGCAGAAGGCAGCAAGGCAGCTCCAGTGACGATAAGCATCAGAGCCGGACTAGAGCTTCATCGGCCAAATAATTAGAAGGAGGCCGCTAGCATGCCCGTCTATCCTTGCAATCCCCATTTCAGCGCGGCCATGGCATTTGTTGTTGGATGGTCGATGAAAGATATGGAACTCCCAGCCAGCCAGGACAGCCAAAAAGAAAAGGGAGCAGATAGGAAGCAGTTCCGGTGGGTAGAGGCAGTGGGGAGACGGCAGGGGAATCAGGGGAATCTTCTTGCTCAGGGCATATATACGAATATAGGTGTGCTATATGTGCATCGGCCTGCCTTACCTGCTAGTTATATCCTCCTTATCCTATGAATGTACGGCGGCTGGCATCGCTGCTGGATCCGTGTCGTAGTCGTACGAGCGCTGGACCGGCAGTGAGCTTCTTCCTGTTGGCGGAGACGCTTGACTGGTCTTTCGCTGTGCTGGTCATGGATCTGATCCGTCCGTCGTTGGGGGATGCGCCGGGAGAAGACGAAGGCCGCTCGTCCGCCACCAAACTGTGAGTAAGCCTGCAGCGAATCGCAAGCCAGGGGGGGTTCTCTGGCCGCAGGGCAGTGTCACCAAAGCAGCTCGACTACGCCTCTGGGTCTCCTATCCTCCAAAAATTGCAAGATATCAAAGTCTTCGGCTTTTGCATCCTTTTGGTCTGAGGTTGAAAATTGCCAAAATCAGGCATTTGGTGATGTATTTTTCGTATTCGTAAATTACAAAAATACATTAGTCATAACTAAATTTTTGCGGAGATAAAAGTATAATTGTAATATTACCGTCTCCATACCTAAGCTTCGAGCCGAGGTAAAAAGTTGCTGCTTCTGCTTTTCATACATACATATAAAGAACAAGACGAGAAGACGAGAAGCAGACGAGCGAAGAACAACCGAAATACAGGCAAAAGGAAAGCAAGAGGAAGACGCGGAGCTACGGCGGCCTGACTTCTACGTTGTAACCTATACGCGCAGTCCAGAAACACCATGACAGGACCAAAAGACGCGACGATACCGAGCTGGCAGCAGGCGGCTTCAGACAACAGCAGCACAGCCACGAGCTCAGCGGCAGCGACGGAGAGCAGAGACACGCTTCTCGAGCAGGCCAGACGGTTTCTGCAGGATGAGTCCATATCCGAGGCACCGACAGACAAGAAAATCGCCTTCCTTGAGTCCAAAGGGCTGTCAAACGACGAGATACATACCCTACTCGGCATATCCAGAAACACCCAGGCCACCGCCAGCACGAGCGACAACTCTGGCAGCAATAGCTCAACAGAAGAATCAGAGTCGCAGTCTAACAAAGAGACGGCCGGAGAAGCATCGAGTCAACCGACGCAGTCACCAGTGGCAGCTTCGCCTGCACCAGCACCAACAGCATCACCGAGTAAAGATGTACCTCCAATCATAACCTATCCCGAATTCCTCCTACGGCAATCGAAGCCACCACTTATCACTTTCCAGAACTTCCTATATACACTATATGCCACTGCCGGTATCACAGCCAGCATCTACGGTGCAAGCGAGTACCTCGCTAAGCCGATGCTAGAATCTTTAAACTGTGCTCGACATGAGTTCTCCGAGACGGTGCAGGGGAATCTCAAGGTGTTAAACGAGAAGCTTGAAGGCAACGTGTCAAAGGTACCAGCGTTGTCAACGGCACGGCCAAAGGGGATATCAATGGAAAACGAAAGCGAGGATGATAACGAGTCTGTTACATCTGATCCCACAGAGTTGTTTCATCGGGATATAGCCACACAAACGACAGACCTTGAGCCTACTGCTCCCTCGCAGACAGCGGTAGGAACAGAAATACAGACAGTATCACCTCAAACCGTTATTGAAGAGCACCATTCTCGATTGCAGTCTCTCTCGTCAAGCCTGGCTAGTGTCGTCACAACTGAAAAGTACAGTGATAGTACACAGGGCTATGCAAAAGATCGACTATCAGAATTACAGACCTACCTTGATAGTCTGACATATAGCGCACCGTTATATCTGACCTCCTCGTTATATGGGTCGTATGATGACTCCGCTGATGCGAAGAAGGCGGCAAATGGTGAGGACGAGGCTATTGCAGCTTTCAAGGCAGAGATCAGAAGTGTCAAGGGGACCTTGTTGAGCGCGAGGAACTTTCCGTCTGGTAGCGGTGGGTTGAGGCGGTGATCAATGTATATCATTATAGACTTGTATCATCATTAATGACTTTCTTTATGATTGGAATCCAAAGTTAATACAATATACTTGAAAGTAACTGAGAATGGGTATCTAATATTTCATTTGGATAGTAATAATGCAGAGACAGGTTTGCAAAAGATAAGCCAACGAACAAAGCAAGGTACTTAATGCATCCATGCCTTGATAGAAAAATGCACATTTAAACCAAACGCTCACAGGGAAACCAACTCCATAGACCATGGTAGAGATACAAAAAGGACTTTGAGAAAAGAAAAAAAAATACAAGGAAAGTAAGAAACCATCCTAGCAATCGTCGTAGCAATCACTCCTCCATCAACTCTGTTGGAGGGCGAGAAGTATGTGCATATATTTTCTTTGGCCGAGCATCCAGGGGGCTTAGATCCATGTCTGAATCCATGTCAGAGCCAACCGAAGTATCTTCAACCATCACAGCTGGTAGGTTCGGGCTGCTTCCATGGTGTTCTGGGTGGTAAATCAAAGTACTGCTTCGGCTTCTCTGTCCCGATCCCTTCATATCTGTGTTCATGGCTGTAGCCACATCCGTGGGAGAAACAGGTGTCTCTGGCCGATGACCCAACTCGTTAACATGGCTATCAGAGTCATACAGCCGCCCGAGCCTGCCCAGCGCATCAGCCAAATCAGAAGCATGGACTTCCTTATTCGGCGGCTCCTCGTTGCGCATCATCCATCCGTGCGGAGGGCTGGGTGGCGGACTGATAAAGAACATCTTCTGTGACTGGGGTGCTTCGAGAAGATTGCTGCGTCTCATCTCGTCTGAGTCTGTCTGGATAGGCGTGTTTTCGCCAAAGTACACCCGTGCCCGGCCTTTTCCCTGTAGCGGTTCCCTGTCCAGCAGCTGGCGGACTTTGATGGCGTCCTCGACGGTTAGGAACGAGCAGACTATGCGCCGGAAGGACGGCAGAGGGGAGAATGAGTTTAGTGGTGCGGTGGCTGTGATGTGGGCCTTGATAGAGTCGAGAGAGCTCGGCTGGAAGAGCGAGAGGTCGTTTAGGTCTGTGATAAGGAGGGTATTTGATGGAGGTGATGGTTGCTGCAGTGGCGGCACCTCGATCGATAGTGGTGTGCCGCGGCGAGCGCCAGAGCGAGGAGAGCTGGTTCCAGACATCTTAACCGTCTCTGTCTGTCTTTTCTTCTGTCTTCTGCTGTCCTGGTATCCTGGCGGCGTTCTCTCTCCTTTATATGTTTTTTCTGTCTTGTGCTGCGGCCTTTTTTTGATGCGTTGAAGTTGGAAGAAGCAAAGCCGGCTTTTGGTCCCGTGACTTGGTTGTTGGAAAATGCAGGAAAAACATCCAAGAAAGTCGAAAAACTTGAACTTCAACGACACATTTAAGTATCTCGACGCAGGCAGCGAGCCAGGAACCGGCTGAGACCGCAGCCAACCAGCCTAAGCGCCACTGTGTTTCGTTCAGGGCGTGAGGAAGCCGTCTGGCCTCGGTGATCCCACATACAGAGTGAAGATTCTGCTCAGCGCTAAGCTTGCACAGCCCGCTCGCCGCGCAGTGTTTACCTCGACCGCATGGTCTCCCCTTTTTCCTGCCGGCTGGCGCAGCAGTTCAGAGATTTTCCCCCTTCTCTACTGTTTGCTGGCCAAGCTGGAAGCATGAGGAGGCATGACTATGGCTGAGCTAGCTCTTTAATCTCCATGACACAATTTGAAATCGCCGCTCTGGGTCACCCCCTGCTGATCCGGTATGGAGGCGCGGATGTGGCGATCATCAACGTCTCGGCTTGGATTTCTCGTCTTTTGGAGAAGGTGCTAGAGTGTAGATTTGTTGAGGGCTGTGTCTGCTTTGTACAGGTAGTCTTATGCTTACTTACGGATTGCATCTACTGCCGGGCATAATTTTGCTGCTACAGCCCCCGCAAACACGCTTAATGCCTGCATTAGGATGATGGAGGCTGTTATGGAGGAGGAGAGACACCGCGACAGCTGGGCTATGTATGGCTAGATCCATCGTTGCTGCGAAGAGCGAAGCCCGAGAGCAACCCAGCCCTCCTTGGGATAGAAATGGGAAAGCTAAGCCGGCAGGCAGACTGACAGTGAGATGAAAGTCTTAATACGAAGGAATATAGCATTATCTCCGCAGGCGGATGGTGATGGCGTATTGTGTATACGTATTGGGAGGCTGTCATGTCCATCTGAACAGCCATAATCACGGAGGTGTTTCCCTGAGAACATCGGGACGCCAGCTGTACTTTTGCAACGGTGCGTGGCATGGCATGGCATGGCTCGCCCATCCGTCCGTCCGTCATCGACTACGGCTCACCGACAAGTTATTCGGTCAATCCACGGACGGGATAGAACAGCAGAGCTGCACATACCCATGATTGTTTTCCAAGCGAAAGCTGGACCTTACCTCGTTCGAGGTACCTTCTATATATTCCCCCTTTTGTTACTATTATTTCTCATTCACCGCAGGATTATCCAGCACAAAGCTACATAAAACGTACCTATTAGTTCCTTCACTTACAGCCGTTTTGAAGAAGGTCTGCCGTTGGTACGACGACAAGGGGCTGTCTCATTGCCATAGCTTCTCGACGGAGCTGTGCTGCGAATCCTCGTCGTGCAACCAGTCGGTTTTGTTTCTTCTGTACACCCGATTGAACCCAAGGTTGTGCCATGCAGCACA